CCGCTCGGGTCCTCAGCACCAGTAGCCGCGCCACCGCTCGGGTCCTCAGCACCAGCAGCAGCTCCACCAGTCGGGTCCGCAGCACCAGCAGCAGCTCCAACGTCCGAGTCCGCAGCACCAGGAGCACCACTCCGAAGACTGCAGCGCCTCGTGTACCACTCTCGGATCTGCTGGAGGGGGGGGAGCTCCCGGGCAGGAGGGGAAGCACCGCGACCAGCTCCAGCAGTACCTCTCCGGAGGCGGCAGTACTGTAGGTACCGCTCCTGCAGCCGCTGTGAAGAGAGGGCTCGTCCCGGTGGAGTACCCCCAGACTCAGCACCCCCAGGCTCCGCACCCGCAGACTCAGCACCGTCAGGCTCACTACCCCCAGGCTCAGCACCCCCAGGCTCCGCACCTCCAGACTCAGCACTCCCAGGCTCAGCACCCCCAGACGCAGCACCCCCAGGCTCAGCACCCCCAGGCTCAGCACCCCCAGCAGGACGAGAGTCAACAGCTACCTCGACAGGCTCACCCGGGTCTACCTGGGACACACCTGAGGGAGCGGCACCCTGAGGAGAGGTACTTCCTGATTGTTGTTGACGACTTCTCGCGCTACACCACGGTCTTCCCCTTGCGCACCAAGGGTGACGTCCCTGATGTCTTGATCCCTTGGATCCGCAGATCTCGTCTCCAGCTCAGTGAGCGTTTCCGCTCCGACTTCCCTGTCCTGCGTCTGCACTCTGACAGAGGTGGGGAGTTTTCCTCTGGCCTCTTGGAGGCCTTCTGTCAGCAGGAGGGCATTGAGCAGTCGTTCACGCTTCCGGCCTCTCCACAGCAGAATGGGGTTGCTGAGCGCCGCATTGGCTTGGTCATGGAGGTCGCTCGTACCTCCTTGGTTCATGCGGCTGCCCCCCACTTTCTGTGGCCGTTTGCAGTCCGATACGCTGCGCATCAGCTCAACCTCTGGCCCCGTGTCTCCTTACCGGAGACTTCTCCGACACTGCGTTGGACGGGAGAGGCTGGCGATGCGTCGCGTTTTCGGGTCTGGGGATCCCGAGCTTTTGTTCGCGACACGTCCGCGGACAAGCTCTCCCGTCGCGCTGTCCCCTGTGTCTTCCTTGGCTTTGTCCCAGACGCGCCTGGTTGGCAGTTCTACCACGCCACCTCGCGTCGTGTCCTGGCCTCTCAGGACGTCACTTTTGACGAGTCCGTCCCCTACTACTGCCTCTTCCCCTACCGCACTGCCCCACTCCCCCCCCCGCCTCTCTTCCTGGCTCCAGGTGCTGAGGTACCAGACCCCCTCCCCCCTGACCCTGACCACGGACGCGGGCTGGGCCCCACACGTCCATGTGGAGCGTCTGCAAAGGAGCAGTCGTCGGGGGAAAGGAGGAGGAGTGAGGAGCGGCGCGCTGCCGCCCCTCGACACAGGGAAGACAGGGAGGAGCAGGCGAGGGTGGGAGGGGAGGGAGCACCCTGGGAAGACCAGAGACAAGCTGCCGTTTGTGCATGGCACGAAGGCGCTGCACAGACGGGTGGCCAAGTCGGTGGTGCCAGAGAACGGTGTCGTGCGCCAGAGAGCGACACGAGCAGGGGGCCGACAGCTGACCTGACGCAGACGCGGACGCAGCTACCTGAGGGGACTCAGTGGTCAGTGTGTACAGGTCCGACCCCGGCTGCCAAGTGAAGGTAGCCAGGTGACGGCCTGTCCGAGCACCCGTGTAGTGTGTCACGCGCTCGTAGGCAGGGGTGAACTGGTGAACACCCGCATCCTGGAGTGCACAACCCGCCACCAAGTTCGTAGAGAACGAGGGGAGGTGGAGACCTGACAGTGTGCCCGACGGGACCGCAGGACAGGGAAGAACAGTGGAGGAGGTCGCAATGACCGGACCCCCAGAGGGGTCAGCGAGGGAGACAGCAACTGGCCGAGCAAGCGGCTCAAGGGCAGTGCGGTCACGAAAGAAACAGCGAGAAGCACCTGAGTCTAGGGTGAAGGTGTGCAGGGCCTCAGTCGACTCAGTACCAGGGGGCGCAGACTCACTAGGACCTAGAGTAGCAGCCTCACCAGCACCTAGGGCAACAGACGTACTAGCACCTAGAGCGGCAGCCTCACTGACAGGACACGGCAGCTGCACCTGTCCACTACCAGAAGCTCCCGAACGATGCACTCCAGAGCGACTACCACTACGGCCACTCCGACAGCTCAAACTAGCGTACCACTCACGCGCACGAAGCAGCTGGGGCGAAGGAGGACACGGCTGCTGCACCTGTCCACTACCAGAAGCTCCCGACCGATGCACTCCAGAGCGACTACCACTACGGCCACTCCGACAGCCCAAACTAGCGTACCACTCACGCGCACGAAGCAGCTGGGGCGAAGGAGGACACGGCAGCTGCACCTGTCCACGACCAGAAGCTCCCGACCGACCCACTCCAGAGCGACTACCACTACGGCCACCCCGACAGCCCCGACTAGCGTACCACTCACGCGCACGAAGCTGCTGGGGCGTGGGGGACTCACGCGCACAGCCCTGGAGCTGCATCTGGCCACGTCAGAGTAGCAGTAGTAGCAGTAGCGGCAGTAACAGTAGTAACAGCAGGAGCAGTGGCAGTGGGAGTAGAAAAGGCAGTTGCAGCAGTACTGGGCAATGCTCACCAGTGGTCGGCGCGGCAGGCGCAAGACGGTGGCGACAGTGGGGCCGCTACAACTGCAGGGCTGGGCCGGGCCGCAGCAGGGAGCTCCGCGGGAGCTGGGGCAGGGCGAGGCTGGGCCGCGACGGCAGCTGCTCCAGGTGGGGCTGCTGCAGTGACGGGCGGCTCCAGGGGCGGCTGCTGCAGTGGCGAGCGGCTCCAGGGGCTGCTGCTGCAGTGGCGGGCGGCTCCAGGGGCTGCTGCTGCAGTGGCGGGCGGCTCCAGGGGCTGCTGCTGCAGTGGCGGCTGCTCCAGGGGCGAGAGGCGGATTAGGTCAGGGCGACGCGGCGGGCAGGTGGCGACGCCGCGGGCAGGGCGACGCGACGGGCAGGTGGCGACGCCGCGGGCAGGGCGACGCGGCGGGCAGGTGGCGACGCCGCGAGCAAGGGACGACGCCGCGGGCAGGCGACGACGCCGCGGGCAGGCGGCGACGCCGCGGGCAGGCGACGACGCCGCGAGCAGGCGACGACGCCGCGGGCAGGCGGCGACGCCGCGGGCAGGCGACGACGCCGCGGGCAGGCGACGACGCCGCGGGCAGGCGACGACGCCGCGGGCAGGCGACGACGCCGCGGACAGGGGCTACGTCGCGGGCAGGCAACGACGCCGCGGGAAGGCGGCGACGCCACGGGCAGGGCGACGCGGCGGGCGGCGAGAGCCTGCAGGGGCGGCGCGCGGTCGTGCAGAGGCTGCGCGCGGGCCTGACGGGTGTGCAGGGGCGGCTCTCGGGCCTGACGGGCCTGCAGCGGCGGCTCGGGGGCCTGACGGACCTGCAGGGGCAGCTCGAGAGCGCACGAGGGCGCACGAGGGCGCACGAGGGCGCACGAAGGCGCACTAGCAGAGAAAGGCGCACGAGGGCGCACGTAAGGTAGAGCGCACGAGGGCGCACGTAAGGTAGGGCGCACGAGGGCGCACGTAAGGTAGGGCGCACGAGGGCGCGCCTAGCGGAATAGTGGGCCCATTGTAGAAAGCGGTCCTAGGTAGCAACCTAGGCTTCTGATACCATGTCAGAATCTAGAAAAGAACGAGAATGGATGAACTAGCAGGAAGGTGGGTACAAGTATGAAACCCTAAGTTTGTGTACCCTCTAAGGCTAAACCCACTATAGCCTACACAATAAAACATACAATGTTTGACATTGTGAATTTCGGCGGCTACTGTAGCCTCGTTAGAGGCTCTGTATCTTCGTAGTTACCGAAAGGCGAAAGTTCGCAATAGATATCGTTCGCCAATCGAAAGGCGATACTGTACATCAAATTCGCCCGCCAATATCTAGCCAGGACTGATGGACTGTCCGTTCAGGTTTCGGACTGTCCACGGTTCACATTACGGACCATTGAAAATGTGAAAAAGTGTCACGACAGTCTGTTTGGTTGGCGACGTTGCCAACACCTCCGCGAAAACGCTAACGATAGCATGCGACAAGGGTTACATTTCGCCAGCCCGGATGGTCCGCAGTAGAATCGTCAGGTGCAAAATGGTTACGCGCCCTAACCTTGCGTGACGATGACAGGGTGGACGCCCAGCCAACCCCAATTCTAGCCGTGCGGGTCCGAATTTTCACCCTGAAATGCAGGGCAAACAGGGTAAAACGTCCTGCAATCGGAGCAGCTGCGCGCTAGGGTAACATGCACTTGATGCGATTGGAGCAGCATTCGGGTGTCCCGTGCTGCAGCCCACAGTTTACAGGCCCACGAACAGGCCCATTCAGTTTCCTGGCCCATACGATATGCAAATGTGCTGCTGCAGTGCGCCCTCAGTCCGCAGAACCGTTCCGCGCATCACAACATTCGCACCACAGTGCCAGTGCCCTTGGATCACATTCGCCACAACATCCCCAACCATTCCCTCCACCCTCACATCGCTTGTAGTACCTTGGCTGCCCTCACCCGCTCTTGATGCTCCTTTCCACGTTCGCTGCCTTCTCAAGCTAACACTGTCGCCAATTGTCGCATCTCCTGTCTCTCTGTCGCTGACTCCACCAAGCGACACTATGGCGACGCCTGTAGCTGTCGCGGGTGAGTCGCCTGTCTCCGCATTGTCTCCCTCCCTGCCGATCCCTGTCGCTGGCCCTGCCTCTCGTCCCGTCACTACCGACACAAGTCTACTGATTTGTATCTCTGCCGTCCGTCGGCTTTGCTCATTAATCCGCACCACTGACCATCTCTTTCCACGTGTCGCCGTCTGCGATGCTCGCCCTGCGCACACGCGTGCCGTCGCTTCTCTGCATTCGGTGCCGTGCCGTGCCATGCCATGCTGCGCCGTGCCTTGTCATCGCCGTTGCTGTGGCGATTGCCACTGCGGTGGGCGTGGCCACGGGCGGGGGGCAAGGGCAGAGCGGGAGCTGCGCGAGTATCTGCACGTCGCTGTGGCGGCTGCTCGCCAGGCGGGCGAGGTGCGCCGCATTGCCCCGCACAGCACGCCTCGCCCCGTGTGCGCGTGCCGCATGCCGAAAGGCATCTGGTTCACCCAACACCCGCTCGCATTCCGCGCCTTTCAGTGCCTCTTCCCCATCACGCTTCCTCGCTTGCATGACTTTGCGGCCTCAACCTCAGAAACTCTCCCTTTCCTCCCTCCCCTTTCACTCTCCTCCCTCTCATCTCCCTCTACTCTCCATCTCTTCCCTCCCTCTCCACTACCTCCCGGCTTCTTAGTAACCTTCAAGTGTCCTCCCATCCACTCCTCCATCCCTCCCTCCCAACCATCCCTCCCAACCATCCACCCATCCTCCCCCCTCCCATCCATTCGCCCGTGCATGCCTGCACACGTGTCACCAGGTGATTCGTCGCAGCTTCTATGCGCCAAAGGACGTGCAGCACAAGGGAAAGGTGAGGCGAGATGAGGGATGGGAGCATGGCATGGCACGTCATGGAAGAGAGCATGGCATGCCAGCATGGCACGTGCTGTTAGAACATGGGATGTGTGGCGTTAGCGCATGACATGTAGTGTTAGAGAATGACGTGTGATGTTAGAGCACGGCATGTGATGTTGGAGCACGGCATGTGATGTTAGAGCACGGCATGTGATGTTGGAGCACGGCATGTGATGTTGGAGCACGGCATGTGATGTTGGAGCATGAAATCTGCTGTTACAGCATGGCATGCGTTCTGGGATTTTGAACCTGGAAATGGATGTGTTTAGTCTGGACGCTTTGCGAGCTCATTCCGTTTCCCTCCCGCTTTTCTGCTCGCAAAATCTGGCTTGCCACCCTGTTCCGCCACTAGTTCGACCTGGTCACAGAAACGGACAAGCAATGCGAGGCACTCATCATGCAGCACATCTCAGCCGCTTACCCTTCCCACAAGGCAAGCGAGGGTTGGAACCAGAAGCATCTGGGCTGTGCACCATCTGTTGGGTTAGGGTTAAAACGTGATTCTGGGTTCTAGCATGGTCATGTCATGGTTGTAGCACGCAGGCCAGTTTCTCTCGTCTTCGGTTTATTCCCCTTCTGTAATATCCCTCCTGCTTGCTGCGCTTTACCTTCCATCTGAACTGGCATGGCATCAGATCATAGGCGAGGAGGAGTCATCAGTGCATGGCACGGCGGGGCTGTCAGATGACCCCACGTGGATGGTGGACCCCCTCGATGGCACCACCAACTTCATACACCGGTGGGGCCTCTCATCTGTCATCTGCCATCTACCATCTGCCATCTACCATCTGCCATGTGTGCCGTGTGCCTTGTACCGTGTGCTGTGTGCCATTGTGATCCACAGCCCCGCCTCCCGCTCCACTGTCCGTCATTAAAGGAACGCGATCAACCCCTGTGGCTATGTCTGTGTGTGTGGCGTGGCATTGGGGGAGGGAGGGAGGCGGGGGGCATGAGCAGGTACCCCTTTGTGTGTGTGTCGATCGGGCTGGCGATCAGCAAGGTGGTGGTGGTGGCCGTGGTCTTCAACCCCATCCTCAATGAGGCACGCCCCCCTGCCCACCATGCCACGCGTCTCTCAACTCCCTCATGCATGCCATTCGCCTCTCAACTCCCTCATGCATGCCATTCGCCTCTCAACTCCCTCATGCATGCCATTCGCCTCTCAACTCCCTCATTCATGCCATTCACCGCACACGCATCCCCCGCTCTGCACACAACAGTGCGCCACCAGCACACCTGCTCCCCCACTCATCTCTCCACCCATCTTCCCTCGCTCAACCCCGCACCCACCCATATCCTATGCTAGCTTTCCCATATCCCATGCCCCATGCCCCATGCCTCATGCCCCATGCCTCATGCCCCATGCCCCATGCCTTATGCGCCATGGCATGCCAGATGTTCACTGCAATGAGGGGACATGGTGCCATGCTCAACGACGAGCCCATCCATGGTATGCATGCTGTGCTGCCATCCACGGTATGCATGCTGTGCTGCCATCCATGGTATGCATGCTGTGCTGCCACCCATGGTATGCATGCGCTGCTGCCACCCATGGTACGCATGCTGTGCTGCCATCCATGGTATGCATGCTGTGCTGCCACCCATGGTATGCATGCTGTGCTGCCACCCATGGTATGCATGCTGTGCTGCCACCCATGGTATGCATGCTGTGCTGCCACCCATGGTATGCATGCTGTGCTGCCACCCATGGTATGCATGCTGTGCTGCCATCCATGGTATGCATGCTGTGCTGCCACCCATGGTATGCATGCTGTGCTGCCATCCATGGTATGCATGCTGTGCTGCCATCCATGGTATGCATGCTGTGCTGCCATCCATGGTATGCATGCTGTGCTGTCAACCGTGATATGCCATGCCTTGCTGCCACCGTCCACTTCTAAAGTCTCTAAAAAAAAAGCATTGCTGCATCGTGGCCATATCATAGTTACCACCCCCCCCCCCCTCCATGCTGCCTTTTTGCTGTCTCCCCTCTTCTTCTCGTGTTGCACTTACCTCTCACCCTGCGCACGCCCCTGTCAGTCTCCCCACAAGCAGACATGAAGTCAGCGCTGCTCGCCACTGAGGTGCCCCGCCTCCCACGCATGCCCGCATGCATGCACACATGCATACACATGCACCCGTGGATACATGCATACGTGCACACATGCACTCCTTCATAATAAATCCCCAATATACATGCATGCCCCTTTGCATCCTTGCTCTGAAACTTGGTTTCTGCTCAACCTTCACTACGGCCTGTCTTGTCTTTCACTCACTTCTGCTCCCTCTCATCCCAACCATTCTCCCCCCATCGTGCCACGCATGGCGGCGTGGGCCATCAGATCGGCACCAAGAGGGATGCCGCCACGGTGGAGGGGATAGCAGCGCGCATCAGCACGCTGCTCTTCCAGGCACGCCCCCTTCCCATCCCATGTCTTTCATGCTCTCCCCTTTCTAATGCCGCCCCTTCCTTTCCCAACTGCTGCTTCCTTCCCCCTCTCATGCCCACCTCTATCTTTCGAATGCCCTTGCTCTAACTGCAATTTACATCGTCTCCCATCCTACCTACCTACCTGTCCTTTCACCCCCCTCCCATCAACTCCTCCGCCTGCCCCCCTGCCCATGGTGAGCAGGTGCGCTCGCTGCGCATGGGGGGGTCGTGTGCGCTCAACCTGGCGGGCGTGGCGTGCGGCCGCCTCGACCTCTTCTACGAGATCGACTTCGGGGGGCCCTGGTAAGTGGGGTGGGGTGGCGTTGGGGTGGGGTGGGGTGGGGTGGGGTGGGGTGGGGTGGGGTGGGGTGGGGTGGGGTGGGGTGGGGTGGGGTGGGGTGGGTGGGGTGGGGTGTGGTGGGGTGGGGTGGGGTGGGGTCTCCATCACAGGTCAAGGGGGGAAAAAAGGGAAAGAGAGAAAGGGTGGAAGAGGGAAACAGGGGTGGAGGATAGGGGTGCGGTTGCCGCAACACTGCCGATAAGGTCAGGGCGTGGTTGTGGGGTGTTGCCAGCAGCTGCGGCATGTAAGGCATGTCGTCATTCAGCGTCTTTCCCACATATCGTCTGAACTGCTTCTCATGACCGCCGCCCTCACCTCTCCTTCACTCCCCCTCTCTTCCCCCGGTGCACCAACCAGGGATGTAGCAGCGGGGTCGCTGATAGTGGAGGAGGCAGGTGGCCTCTGCTTTGACCCGTGAGTGCCTTGTGCCCTCCCTTCCCCTTGCTACTTGCTCCTTGCTCCTTGTTCCTTGCTCCTCGCTCCTTGCCCCTCGCTCCTTGCACCTTGTTCCGTGCGTCTGTTCTGATGTCACATGCGGCTTGAATCTCAACCAAAATGTGTCATGTTCACTCTGCAACCATGTGCTGGTGCGTACATGGCAGGAGCGGTGGGCCGTTTGATGTGATGGCACGCCGAGTGGCGGCTTCGAATGCTTATCTGAAAGCACCATTTGTGGAGGCGTTGGCCTGTGATACGGTTGCCAATGGCCAAACATGATGTGATGGGGAGGCGTTTTCTTCTGTTAAGGTAGTAGCATCATTATATTATGATTAGTTAGGTGCTCAACTTTGTAATTGTTGGGCTAGTATTAGCTCCTTCAAAGCACATTGAAACTAGAGTCATATTCTTTGCTGGGTGTAGCTGTTCTCCCATGTCTGTCATTTGCAAGCATCGCTTGCCTCTCTCAGCCCTTCACGAAGTCGCTGGGTTAGAACTGGGGCACTCCCACCACATTTGCGTGATCGATCCTACGCGGGATCGTTTTAATTGTAACTACAGGTTTCCAGTGCGGTGGCTGATCGAAAATTCGCTTTCGACCCCCGAAATCGGTGCGAGTGCTCGCGTCATTTAGCACGCTTTCGCAAGGCTCGCGGATTATCCTTCCAGGCGCCGCTTTTCTCCCTCCCAGCTCCTCATTTTTCCTCCCACGTGCTTTCTTCCACTCACACTCGCCCACATAGTTACCACATGAGACATGAGCCCTTCGATAGCCAAACGACTTCAGACTTCTCTTCCGCTAAACAGCGCACTTCACCCGCCACCGCCTTTCCAGCCATGGCAGACATCGCGGAAAAGGGAAATTGCGTTTTGGGGTGTCCGAAGGTTTTTCTGCGTGGGGCTTGCGTGATTGTTGCGACAAGTGTCCGAAAAACAAGGACCGTAAAACGCAACATTGGCGCGATCAATAACCGCACACTGGACCACAACATTACCGCCACCAAAATGTCACTTTGGGGTCACATGCGCCATTATCCGCGCCGCCTCCACGAATGCGCCTCGAACACATGCGGCTCGAGCCAAAAACGCCACACATACTCGGTATTGTCGTGTCGCCCCTCCCCCGCTACAGGGACCACAGAAACGATAAATGCACACCTACTCCGAGCAACTGTATATACTGAACAAACCAAACTACACTGCTCTGCACACCGTCTACTTCATAATGTGTAAACCGTGTCATTCGCTTGCAACTCCAGCACTCAGCAATACAAAGTACAACATCACACAAAACCAAACCCTACTGTCAACCAGCAACCACACCTACAAAGATGAGCCCACCCTTCAAGGCATGCCCTCCAACAAACACCCCCCCCCACCCACTACAGCATCAAACCCAAGCGCACTACACGGACCCACTGTCCGACGACCCCGAACTGCGAGCTCGCTTCTTCGGTGTGCGGCTTAGGCGGCTAACCACCTCTCCATCAGAGGCGCCAACGACAGTCGCCACCTCCGCAGGAGCAATCCCCAGCGCCTCCGCGTGACTCACGTATGCGTTCGTCACATTGCGGATGGCACGTCGTCGGCTTCGTTCGTCACGCATCAGAGGCCCATCCGGCAGGCACATCTCGCCCTCGTCCCCTGAAGACGTCGGCGTCGTTGGCGTCACCAACTTCACACCAGCCTTCTCCATTAACCACTCATCGCATGTCACGTAATCGGACACCGGCATATAAATAGCCGGCCGCACACGGAACTCACGTAGCAGCACCAGGAGGTCCGCCGTGGTAGAGACCAGGGGATCGTACATGCCGTCCGAGTACATGCCGTGCAGGTGCCACATCAGCTCCCACCATGACTCCGGGACGCATCCCGCCCTCCACCAGCTCCTTTGCATCGTTGCCGCCGTCAGCGCCTTCCATGCCAAGCCCACCCACAGCAGCATAACACCGTAATTCACCTGGGAAATCGGCGCTTCGAAATCCTCGTGGAACAGATTGGACCGCACCGCGCGTCTCATCAGTATCACACGATACTCAGCCTTGAAAGCGTCCACCACGCCGTGCAAAAACGGCATACTGGACCAGTGCACAACGTCTGTCAGGTCCACAAAGCGTGTGTGCGTGAAATGCACCATAGTCAGCCCATGCTCCACCGTGGTCTCCGCGTCATTCGCGGTAATGCGGTGCGCCGTGTTGTAGGTGAACACAACCGTCTTCCTTCCACGGCTAAGCTGCACCCCATCAACCGTCTGAAAAAACTCGGTAAACACCTGCGCACCGCCAAGCCACGACAGCGCCAGCGCGGAATTAGGGTATCACACAGAAACAGGGTTAAAATGCGGCCACAACATTATACACATGTGCTGGTGGGAGTCCACTCGAAATCCGCCCACATACCTCGGGTGTGAGGCGCCCACTCTTCGTGTAGCGCACAATCACCGCCGGTGCAGGATCCCCGCTGCGCCTAGGTTCGGGGCGCTCGTCATGGCGCAACACCACAAGGGGCACCGTGGTGCAGGTCCCCGTCGCATTGTACAAGAAGCCGACACTTATGATCCGGTCGCACGGGGTTCCGTTCCTCCCCGGTATCTTGGTCTTCGGCAACTGGCTGGGCATAAACGGTATCTCCACAAACAGAAACACATCGTCGGGGAGCACTTTCAGCATCTATACGATGTCCTTCAACGGGGGCTTCACCGAGCTCATACTGGCCACCAGCACACCCCGGACAACGTGTGGGACGCTGGAGATGAAATGGTGGACGTCCCCAAAATCATCCACCAAAAGCCCAAACCGTACTCTCCACCACCACATGTGCTGCCTTTTAGGCGCTCCACATGTGCAGCAACCACTGAATCGCTCTCCAACTGAACACTGTCCACTACATGCCAGGTACACAATTGCGCAGTTCCCATTGGCCCAACCTGTCAACCTCTGATGTCGTACACGTCACACAAGAGCGCACCCTCCAGTCACACGCACTAGAAATCTGAACATCGAACCAATTAGCCCCAGCCACATATCCAATTGGATTCCGTAACAAGAGTGTCCCTGCCTTTCAGCCACAAAACCCCAATCCGCACACCAGTGCCCGTAACCAACAACCGTAATAACCAAATCCGTTACAAGCATTGCCTCAGTCCACACACCGGCCGCCAAAATTACAGTATGACGGTGAATTTCCAAAATCCCACATTCCCACCACACAAGCCCCCCAAATCAAAGCATGACACCTGCGTACTATTCTGTTGCGCACTCTCCTTCCCTTACCCAGGTTCCCATGCACCCCTAAATGCCACAATCCCACAATTCCACCTCTTCTAGGAGTGTAACAAAACCACCTTCCCTCAGTTCCAAACACACAGCCCAACTCCAATTACTCGCAGAGTAGAAACTTGTTAACCAGCAGCAGACGAGGGTTGCTGTACGAAGGGCATACGTGCACAACCCTCTGCAGGCTCTTCAGCAACACCACTGCGAACCGGACACTCTCTCGAGCTGGATGCAACTGGGTGCACGTTGTGATGGGACACTGGCCTGCTGCTTCGTAGTACCTCACGTAGGCACACCCAGTCCACTTGCCCTCCGCGTTCAACGCCTTGAAAATACATAGGCATCTAGCAAACCAATCCCCGCCTCCAGGAGCCAGGAGTGCCACATCTGAGAACAGGTTCTCTCGCGGGGACGCCTTGACGAACGTCCCCTTCGCCACAAGCACCCCACCCTGCGTACGTGGTATGGCCACTGCTGTGTGTGTCTGCAATAAGGCAAGCACCACAACCGAATCAAAGAGGTCAGGCAATGTCACTCGTTCCGCGCACCAGAAACCGACAATCCGCGCACCACAAAAAACCATTACCTGCACACTGCCAGGGTTCAACTGCATCTCCCGCAGCTGACCTGGTAGGCCCGCCATCTGATCCCCAAATACCGCTGCGTACTCGGCAAACACCTTGTCCGCGGTGCCTCCGAGGCGCATGACCCTGAACTTCTTCGTTAGCACTGGCTCCATCTCTTCCACGGCCTGCCGCACACAACCACCGGCGACACATCATGCAATGAATGAGAGTGCATAGCAAACACGCACCTGGTACAGGGCGTGAGTCGCCCAGCGCACCACCCCTAGTCTTGCTTGCACCCAAACACTCACCACACGCAGCGCTGACACGTACTGCCGACCTCCTCCCGCATCCGCCGCCACTTCTCTGTAAATCTCCCGCTGCATCTCCTCATCCACAATTCTCCTCGGAATGTCAGCCCAGTTGCTCCCCCTCACGGGACCTTCACTGTCCCCTTGTGAGTGCGCTCCCACATCTCCGTGCTGTAGTGGTGTGGCATCCCCCTTGCTTCCACGTTCTCGAGAAGATGCTTGATCATGTGGATCTTGGGAATTTCCCACTTTGACGCCTGGTCCGGGAAAGCTTTGGGCAGTAGCTCCATCAGCCTGCATAGCAAACAGTTGTGTAGCTCAGAGGACGGGTCAGCAACTGGAAAGCACAGGGTTAAGGGTGCACAAGGATTGCCACCAACACACGTGTCCAACCACCGTACTTACGCAACAGCACGTTGCTTGGCCTCTTTCAGCGTGGCACGGGTGTGCGCCGCCACTCCCAAAAACGCCTTGTAGAACAGGGCGTAATAACGGAATGCTCTAACCTGCAGCGCCCTCAACTCTCCCGCCTCGCCCTTCTTCAAGGCACTAGAATCCGCAATTAGGATCGGCATGATTTGCATCATGGCACGATGTTCGAACGCCGCATAGTGGGCACCAGAAAGGAAGAATGATGATCCCCCTGGAATCCGCAGCAGCACACTTGGAGTATCGCTTTTCAACTCCTTCTTCCGCCTGCCACGCAATAGGGGCCAACGAGCCAGGGTCGCATCTCGGCCAAGCCATAAAACCCGTTCCAAGGAACTGACAAAGCCCTGACCACCCCAAAACACCGCACTGATGATCTACACGGCTCACCTCTCCAGGATGCGGATCTCGGCTTTACCCAGAGGGGAAAGGTATTCTTCCATCATGTGTACGAAGACACCAGAGTCCAGCACGTGTAAAATGTCAGCCAAACATGCGAGGTAGACGTTCCCCCAGGTGGTGTTCCCAAAGTTCCACCGCGCCAGCACGCACTGCGCACAGAAGGAAGCACGTCACAACCCTATATGTCCAGTGTCGCCACCAGTCGAACGAATGTTTCCACGGCACAATGTCAAACTGCAACATACCTCTATCGGATGGGTTGACCACTGGCTCATGTACTTCCGGGCGTCCTCCTTTTTGGCGAACGCAAAAAACTGTCGCACAATGTCATTCTGCCGCTCAGGTGTGCGTGGATCTATTCTAGCAGTCAGCCGTTTCAGCTCTCCCACTTCTGCATAGCAGTTAGCGCAGGGGCGACGCGTGCCCGTCTGCAGCGTGGCTGAGGCCCTACTGTTCTCTGGATAGTCACCAGGGTACCCATAGAGGCAAGGTACCGCCTTGACCACATTGCCGGTGGCGTCTGTCACATAAAAGTACCTCACAGGAGCACTGGATACAGAAAGGGATTTCGAATAGGTAACGGATCACAGGTACGTCACAAGCAACGTGTTTACCGCGTGAAGAACCAACACACATGCCGCCAAACGTACCTTGCGGTTTCCCGCATCAGGGGCCCTAGGATGATCTTCAGCACCTCCTGGAAAACACAGGCCTTCTCTGACGGACTAGCCCATTCCGGACAGAATGGCAACACTGCCGCAAGTGTGTGGCCCGGCTCAAACCACCTCAATTCCTCCGGAATGTTAACAAGCGATATCAGAACAGGCCACGCATTCCGCCGCCCGTTGCGCGACGCCTGAGTGCTGTCGCTGTACACGATGACCCCGAGAATCAGAGCCTTGTCGTCCTTGATCTCTTTCTGCCACACGCACACACCGAGGTGATTATTACGGAACAAGGCCCTTGCATCGGACATGCACTGTTTCAGCCAGGCAACGCACCTGCGCCTCGTGCATCCACGTGCCTGTTTCTGGCCCCTCGAAAACGCGCTTCCCCTTCTCGTTGTACTTCTCCTGTGGCTTCCACACGAAACCCTTCCTCCGCGAAAAAATGCGGACTAGCTTCTTCACAAGCTGCACAACAGAGCAGGGCCATAGGAAGCATGCGCGACAATACAAATATAGATAGGCACGTTACACGCCATCTGTCACAACACCTAAGCCGAATAAGGGCGGTACGCAGATGACGACAAGCTCACCAGCTCTGTGTCGCGGAAGTGCAAGAGAAGCTTTTGGGACATTCCTCTGGGCCCGTGCACGACGATATGCTCTGTTTTCCATGGAACCATATCTGGCGGCGCACGCTCTTTCCCCCATCGCTTCACGTCGGCGTAGCTGCGCCACTTGCGTAATTCCTTCAAACTGAACTGAGGGTTACGGAATATGTTAAGCAGTCTGTTGACTTCACGGCGTGATAAGTCCGCGTCACGGAAAAACAGGTACAGCTCCGTGAGCGTGTCGAAGTAGTCGGAGACGTCGCTCGCCTCCGAAGAAGTAGAGCTTTTTGAGTCGCCATCGTCCGCCTCATGATCTGCCTCCGTCGCCTGCAGCGGTGAGCCCTCTTGAAACAAGTGCGTAGGTATAGGGTTGGTTTTGGCACTAGACGTAGCAGGGCTGCGCTGGCGTTTTTGCCCAACACTGTTTAGCGCATCCAGGTAAGCATCAAACATAAGCTGCTCGAGATTTCTCTTCAACGAGTCCCCGCATTTCGTTCTGTCTGAGAGATGAGACTGCAAGTCACGGTCGCTAGGAAATTCCTTACCGCACACTCCGCACTTGTTTCCCGTCATCTCGGCCTTGCTACAAACCCTAAAGCGACCTCCAGCAATGGTTGAGGTAGTCGGTTTTCATATCGTCCACGGCCGTGCGCGGCAACATATGAGGCGTCAGTGCTTCGTACACACTACATGTACGTAAGAATACACTTGGTTGTTCATAAATAGCCATGTGAAGATAGACGATATGTGTATAAGACTACGTCGTTGAAGCAAACAAATAGTGTGCAACTCTATCCGTTTACTACTGATAATATTTACCTACGTAGATTTGGCCACGGAACAAAAGCAGAAACTGTTTGCCCATTATAAGCGCTATTATATTACAAATCTTCAACGAGACATCACATGCCGCGTATACGTGCACGTGCTCCCACGTACGCATCCCGTAAACAGGGGCTTTCCCATCCGGCACTGTTTGATCACTGCTACACTGGCCAGGTGGCCCCGTGTCTACACCTTGCCTACAGCGATGTACTAGCAATTCGTGCGAGGAAGTGCCAATTTCGTGCCTTACGTCGCGAGCCAGATGTACGCGTTTGTGCATTGTCGTATCACTTTATATCATCATAATTCGAAACAAATGGGAGTTGGCCCTACCAACTGGACCACTACTTTATCGACGCTACACTGCCTTCCGAATTGAAAATGCCTGATATAAAACAAGTCATACACGCACCCCCGTTATTAGGAGCCTCTCGATGTCGTGCTGGCTACGGAGCAATGACATGCACTCATCCAACTATTCCAGACCATTCTGCGGTGCCCAGCTGTCATCATCCCAGTGACCTGTGCATGATGCGACGAACCTCGAGTAACCCTAACTGGAGATCTGTCATCCATCGGGGGATGTGACCACTTTTGCTGCCTTCTTGCCCCGGGCTATTGCGCTTTCCCAAATTCGGTCGCAGGAGAACCCAAAGGGTTTTAGTTTACCGTGGGAACCGGGGCCCGGCCCTAGTACACCTGATTCTGAAATCGCACCCTTCCCCTCATCCCGCGCCAACCATGCCTCCGAAAAACGCGCACACCGGCAGCCAAGAATCGAGCGGCTGCTCCGAGTCCGAGATAAGAGAAGTACGTGCGACAAGGTCGCGTAAGGGAAAGGCCGCCGGCTCTAACAAAAAAAGGCAACGACGGGTGGAGGAGGATGACAAGGGAAAGACCATGGAAGTCGCTGACGGTGCAGCCAGCACGCCTGCTGAACTCCCTCAGCCCGACGATTTGGTGGCGGCGTTGGAGAAGCATTATCACAAAGTCGAATATCGGAACGTGGAGCTCAAGAACCATCGCGACGTGGTCAGCACAGTCGACAAGAAGGATCTCGCCTCCATCGCGGACAACACATGGGTGACTGACGGGGCGATAGACTTTCACAACGTGTGAGTAACGGTTTCGCCCGGCTACGTGCACGTTGTTTTTTTTTTTTAACATGATAAATCGCAGCAGGAGGATCCGATGCCCTCCCTTTATGCCGACTTTCCAACGTGTCCGGCGTGTGTTTCCAGGCTACTAAGCATCCGAGTGCCGAAACTGTCAAACGGGAAGACATGGGCGGCTGTCGATTGCAACAACTTCGCGAACACCACTGAGCACAATACAACCGTCAATGCTGGAAACGGCCTGCCTCTCCTTGAGCACGACTACCTGGCGGTGCCTGTCTACAGGGGGTAATCATCGAGCTGTTTGAGTAGTTCAGCAACACCCCTTGAGTTGCATGCATTCTTCATCGGCCGTACTAAACACTGCCGTTTACTGCCGCTTGCCTCCCTGCAGAGAGCACTACTCATTGGTGATAGTCGTATCACCCCACCGTCTGGTGGATAAGATGGCAAGGAAGGCTAGTCCTCCGCTGGAAATGGTGTTGTTCGACAGCTCCAAGGCCCCCATGAGTACACAGAAGGTTTTCAGTGGCGTGAAGCTGTAAGTGTTTGTAGCATAAGCCGTAATATGGTATTTGTTAACACCGGCGTGGATGTAACCGGGTTCCTCATATGAGACGTGATGCAGGTTGCTGACAACTCTCGCCAAGCAGACGCACCCACATGTGGACATGTCGAATTTTGAACTGCTGCTGAAGGACGTTCCCTGTCATGTCCTCACGGTAAGGGCGGCTGTTCTGGTGTTTTTGGTGTTAGGCAGTTGACGTTTATAAGGTGAAAAGCGGCTACCCGGTGTGCGGATTCTTTGTGTGCAGGCGAACCACATCCCTAAGCAAGAGAATGGTTTGTCGAAATCAACAGACAGGAATGATTGAACTAGCAGTGAAATCAGTACAAGTACCTAACCCTAGAATTGTGTACCCCCTATAGGCTAACCCACTGTAGCCTAAACAAACACAACATATATAATATTTGACACACCCCCATAGGCAAAGTGGGGGAGAGCAAGGGGTCACAAGACCAGTCAAAGCAAAGCAAAACAAGCTCAGGGTGGATCTCAAGGATACCACACAAATTCCGAGCACAAGCAAGTGGTCACAAGACCAGTTCACATGCAGGTTGATAATATAGCAAGAGATACAGTGATCACAACCTAGCAAGTGTAAACATGCAGGCATATATATAAAGATCACAGTACAAGCAGAGTCAAGAAGTAAGTAAGTGAGGTCCAGCAGGCACAAGGCCTAGAAGAGTACAGAAACGCTGATGGTCACAAGGCTGAAGCGCCTTGGTGAACACATCAGCAAGGTTGGCCTCAGTGGCCACGTAACGCAGACGAAGCTGACCACGCTGCTGCAGCTCTCGAGCAAGGAAGTACCGCAGGGCGATGTGCTTCGTTCTGTGCTCCAGTCTGTGCTCCTCACACAAGGCAATGGCAGCCTGGTTGTCGACGTACAGCACTGGAGGAGAACGAGGCCGCTCTCCCAAGTCGGTCAGCAGGTAGGTCAGCCAGCGTAGCTCCTGGGCAGCCATGGCTGTGGCGTAGATCTCAGCCTCACAACTGGAGCTGAGAACAGAAGAAGAGCGTGTAGAACGCCAAGAAACTGAGCCGGAGCCAAGGCTGAAGGTGTAACCCTGAGACGACCGCTGAGTAGCCTGGTCGTCCGCCCAAGAAGCGTCTGAGTGTCCAGTAAGTACAACTCGGTCTCGCCCTCCAAGCACTAGCCCCATGCCCGACGTACTGCACAAGTAGCGCAACACCCTCTTAGCGGCATCCATGTGCTCCTTCCTGTGACGGCCAGGAGCGACATAGCGTGCAAGGATGCTAAGAGGGTATGCAAGGTCAGGTCGAGTGCAGGTCATCAGGTACATGAGGCAGCCCACAAGCTCTGGATACGGGCCACTCGGCTCTACGGACTCATCCGAAGGCAGAGCTGAGAGCGAGTGACCGGTAGGCAGAGGAGTGGACTGAGGCGAGGAGTACGTGAAGCGGAAGCGCTGAAGGATCTGCTGCACCATGTGTGACTGAGTCAAGGTGATGGTGCGCCGTGCTCTGTCCCGGGTGATCCGCAAGCCAAGATAGCTTGTCAGTTCACCTAGGTCTGTGCACGTGTGTCTCCTCTGCAGCTCCGACTTCACGTGGGCGAGTGCCGCGGTGTCAGCAGTGGCAAAGACCAAGTCGTCGACGTACACGAGGATGTAGAACGGCAGCAGTGAGGTGTCTGTGCGTAGAAACAGTGACGGGTCAGCAGTAGAGGGAGCGAACCCAAGAGCCGCAAGTGTCGTCCTCAGTGTGTCGTGCCACTCACGCGGTGCCTGGCGGAGACTGTAGACCGGCCGCTGAAGCCTCCACTGGGTACTTGGAGGAACCGACCCAGTGAAGCCAGGAGGGCGGCGCAGCCAGATCTCCTCGTGCAGGCTGCCCTGCAAGAAAGCAGTGCTGAAGTCAAGTGAGTGAAGCTCGTAGTCGCGCTGAGCGGCTATGTGCAGCAGCACCCGAAGAGTGGTCATCTTCGAGGTGGGGGAGAAGGTCTGAAAGAAGTCAACTCCCTCTCGCTGACTGAAGCCTCGAGCCACGTAGCGCGCCTTGAAGACAGGAGGAGAACTCGGTGGCCGCTTCACTCTGAAAATCCACATGCCACTGACGATGTTCGCCCCAGGTGGGGGAACCTCGTCGACGTAGGTGCCTGTGGACTTCCAAGAAGCCATCTCTGCGTCCATGGCTGTCTGCCACTGAGAGGAGTAGGGACCCGCCATCGCCTCAGCGTAAGTGCGCGGGGTCGGGATGTCTGGTGCATCCGGGTCTCCCTCAGGGGCAACTAGCATGGACACGAGGTGGGGTAAAGCAGCAGCAAAGCACTGGAACTCCTCCTGTCTGTCCTCAAGGACGTCCGTGCCAAGAGCATACTCACCCCCGACGGACGGAGGACAGACAGACTCAGACTCAGACTCAGCAACAAGGCTAGTGGCGTAGTCTAGACGACACCGGGCAGCAAAGTCTATCAACTCAGCGACCAGAGCAGACGCAGCAGAGGACTCAAAGGTAGGGTCAGTGACAACAGTAGCGAGGAGACGGGTGACAGTGGGACTGGCAGCACGACGGGAGTCAGACTCCGGATCAGGAAGAGTAGGCAGAGAGGACGCAGGAGGAGACGGCAGCGGAACACGCTGAGGAGCAGTGGAGGGACGCAGAGTCATGTAGTGAGTGCCAGGGACAGGAGGAGGACGCTCACGTGGGACACGACGACCAGTGCGAGCAGTACGAACAGGCGACGCAGGACGAGACTTAGGCTCACGACGCTCTGTAAGACCTCCTGTGGGACCAGTGTAAGGAGAGGGACCAGGGAGAGGCGAGGCAGGCGGGAACTGTGACTGCGACTGGACAGGCGGAGGACACTCTACGGAAGGAGGAGGACAAGGAGGAGGAGCCTGACCAAGAACCTGCTGAAGAAGTGGTACGAAGTACGGTCGCGGCCGCGTAGCGTCTCCAGAACCAGCAGAGACACCAGCGGCAGGGTCCTCAGCACCAGCAGCAGCTCAAATGTCCGGGTCCTCAGCACCAGCAGCAGCTCCACCGCTCGGGTCCTCAGCACCAGTAGCAGCTCCACCGTCCGGGTCCTCAGCTCCAGCAGTAGCTCCAACGCCCGGGTCCTCAGCACCAGCAGCAGCGCCACCGCTCGGGTCCGCAGCACCAGCAGCAGCTCCAACGCCCGGGTCCTCAGCACCAGTAGCAGCGCCACCCTCAGGGTCCGCAGCACCAGGAGCACCACTCCGAAGACTGCAGCGCCGCGTGTACCACTCTCGGATCTGCTGAATGGGGGGGAGCTCCTGGGCAGGAGGGGAAGTACTGGTACGAGCTCCAGTAGCACCTCTCCGGAGGCAGCAGTACTGTAGGTACCGCTCCTGCAGCTGCCGGGAGGAGAGGGCTCCTCCAGGTGTAGCACGCTCAGGCTCAGCACCCCCAGACTCAGCACCCCCAGACTCAGCACCTCCAGGCTCAGCACCCCCAGGCTCAGCACCCCCAGGCTCAGCACCCCCAGGCTCCGCACCCCCAGGCTCCGCACCCCCAGGCTCAGCACCCCCAGGCTCCGCACCCCCAGGCTCCGCACCCCCAGGCTCCGCACCCCCAGGCTCAGTACCCTCAGACTCCTCACGGTCAGGCTCAGCACCCCCAGCAGGACGAGAGTCAACAGCTACCTCGACAGGCTCAACCGGGTCTACCTGGGACACACCTGAGGGAGCGGCACCCTGAGGGGGGAGGGGGTCTGGTACCTCAGCACCTGGAGCGAGGAAGAGAGGCGGGGGGGGGGAGCGGGGCAGTGCGGTAGGGGAAGAGGCGGTAGTAGGGGACGGACTCGTCAAAAGTGACGTCCTGAGAGGCCAGGACACGACGCGAGGTGGCGTGGTAGAACTGCCAACCAGGCGCGTCCGGGACAAAGCCAAGGAAGACACAGGGGACAGCTCGACGGGAGAGCTTGTCCGCGGACGTATCGCGAACAAAAGCTCGAGATCCCCAGACCCGAAAACGCGACGCATCGCCAGCCTCTCCCGTCCAACGCAGTGTCGGAGAAGTCTCCGGTAAGGAGACACGAGGCCAAAGGTTGAGCTGATGCGCAGCGTATCGGACTGCAAACGGCCACAGAAAGTGGGGGGCAGCCGCATGAACCAAGGAGGTACGAGCGACCTCCATGACCAAGCCAATGCGGCGCTCAGCAACCCCATTCTGCTGTGGAGAGGCCGGAAGCGTGAACGACTGCTCAATGCCCTCCTGCTGACAGAAGGCCTCCAGGAGGCCAGAGGAAAACTCCCCACCTCTGTCAGAGTGCAGACGCAGGACAGGGAAGTCGGAGCGGAAACGCTCACTGAGCTGGAGACGAGATCTGCGGATCCAAGGGATCAAGACATCAGGGACGTCACCCTTGGTGCGCAAGGGGAAGACCGTGGTGTAGCGCGAGAAGTCGTCAACAACAATCAGGAAGTACCTCTCCTGACCGTGACCACGGACTCGGGCTGGGCCCCACACGTCCATGTGGAGCGTCTGCAAAGGAGCAGTCGTCGGGGGGAAGGAGGAGGAGTGAGGAGCGGCGCGCTGCCGCCCCTCGACACAGGGAAGACAGGGAGGAGCAGGCGAGGGTGGGAGGGGAGGGAGAACCCTGGGAAGACCAGCAACAAGGTCCCGTTTGTGCATGGCCCGAAGGCGCTGCACAGACGGGTGACCAAGGCGGTGGTGCCAGAGGACAGTCTCATGCGCCAGAGAGCGACACGAGCAGGGGGCGGACAGCTGACCTGACGCAGACGCAGACGCGGACGCAGCTACCTGAGGGGACTCAGTGGTCAGTGTGTACAGGTCCGACCCCGGCTGCCGAGTGAAGGTAGCCAGGTGACGGCCCGTCCGAGCACACGTGCAGTGGGTCACGCGCTCGTAAGCAGGGGTGAACTGGTGAACACCCCCGTCCTGGAGCGCACTACCTGCCACCAAGTTCGTAGAGAACGAGGGGAGGTAGAGACCTGACAGTGTGCCTGACGGGACCGCAGGACAAGGAAGGACAGTGGAGGAGGTCGCAACGACCGGACCCCCAGAGGGGTCAGCGAGGGAGACAGCAACTGGCCGAGCAAGCGGCTCAAGGACAGTGCGGTCACGAAAGAAACAGCGAGAAGCACCTGAGTCCAGTGTGAAGGTGTGCAGTGCTGCAGTCGACTCAGTACCAGAGGGCACGGACTCACTAGCACCTAGAGCAGCAGCCTCACCAGGACCTGGGGCAGCAGACTCACTAGCACCTAGAGCGGCAGCCGGACTGGTCTGAATGCCCGGGTCGGGCGGAACACGCAAGTACTGAGCACCCTCTCCACTAGTAAACATCGCATACATGGCAGTGAGAATAGCATCAAAGTCTAAAGCCCAGATATCAACTCCCTTCTTCTCCAGATCAGCCCAGCGGGGCAGGTCAGTGGCATCAGGAAACTGGGCACGCCACGCGTCAGTAAGGCGCGCGAAACAGCGCTGTGTGGGATGCGGCCTCCCACACTGCTGGCCAGTGCGGTCACCAGTGCGAATGACGTACGTGCAGGTAAAGCCACGCTGCGCATACCACTCACGGGCGGCCTGAAGCGACGGGGCGGGCTGCTGACTCTGGCCACCGCCAGCGCCTCCACGACCACCACTGCCGCCGCCACCGCCTCGGCCACCTCCACCCCTGCCGCTGCCACGACCACCTCCGCCTCCGCTGCCGCCTCCACCCCTGCCGCCACTCCCGCCGCTGCTGTCACCACCCCCACTGCCGCCACTAGCCTCCCCAGCCGCTCCTCCACTCCCACCGCCTCCACCCCCACCTCCTCCGCCACCACCTCCACCCTTGCCCCCTTTGCTCTTGCGGCGCCCGCTCGAAGCAGACGCGGCCCCGACCTTCCCAGCACCAAGGAGGTCGACAGCAGCAGCAGAGGCGACAGAGGGGAGGAGAGGGGAAGGGGAACACCCCTCAAAGAACGGGGTGCGGGGGTCGCCACGAGAGGTGCCTACAGCGACGATGCTCGCCTCAGCTGCAAGCAGTTCCTTCTCGAGGAGGGCAATGGTGAGTTCAGTGGGGGAGCGAGAGAGGAAGTGGTCCCTGACTGTGCGCAGGGAGTCGGGGAGGCGGGTGACTATGTGGTAGAGAGTGATCCAGAGCGGGGGGGGGTTGCTGGTGAGGAACTCGTCAGGCATAGCAGCGCGAAAGCGGGCCTCACTGGTCTTAAGGTGGGTGATGAGGTCAGCAACTGTCTGAAAGGAGGCCAGGTCGGGGAACAGGTAGGGGAGAGTGAGGCGGCCTAGTGTGGCAGAAGCGGGGGAGGAGTAGCGAGCGACTACAGCAGTGTACAGGTCCTTAGCAGTTTTGTGCTGGCCAAAGTGCTCGCGCTCGTCGATCGGTAGGGAGTTACGAATAGCGAAGCGAGCGTGGGCGTCACGAGTCTGCCACTGTGAGCGCTGAGTGCTGTCAGCAGTGGTAGGAGGGGCAGTAGCGTTGCCTAGGGCGTGATCGTACAGTGAAACGTCCTCCTTAGCAGTGAGCTGTAGAAAGAGGTGGAGGTCATCGAGCCAGGTTTCGAACTTCACTGGACGGCCCTCAGCATCGAAAGTAAGTACAGTAGGAGTAGCCATAGCGGCAGTAGCAGTAGCGGTAGAAACAGTAAGAATGAGGCCGCAGGGAAGCTGTGGGCAGTGTCAGCACACGGGCGGCAGCAGCTGATGCGCACGGGCGGGAGCGGCAGTGGGCGCAGAAGCGGCGGCCGCAGTGGGAGCGAGTGCAGCAGCGGCAGCGGTAGCAGGCGCAACAGGAGCGCACGGGCGGTAGCGGCCGCGGCGCACGAGCGGGAGCGGCTGCGGGCGACGCGCAGGCGGTAGCTGCAGCGGCGGGCCCGTGGTAGCGGCAGCTGCAGCGGGCGACGAGCGGGCGGCAGCAGCAGCGGGCGACGAGCGGGCGGCAGCTGCAGCGTGCGACGAGCGGGCGGCAGCAGCAGCGGGCGACGAGCGGGCGGCAGCTGCAGCGGGCGACGAGCGGGCAGGCGCTGCAGCGGGCGACGAGCGGGCGGCAGCAGCAGCGAGCGACGAGCGGGCGGCAGCTGCAGCGAGCGACGAGCGGGCGGCAGCAGCAGCGGGCGACGAGCGAGCGGCAGCTGCAGCGGGCGACGAGCGGGCGGCAGCAGCAGCGGGCGACGAGCGGGCGGCAGCTGCAGCGGGCGACGAGCGGGCAGGCGCTGCAGCGAGCGACGAGCGGGCGGCAGCAGCAGCGAGCGACGAGCGGGCGGCAGCTGCAGCGGGCGACGAGCGGGCGGCAGCTGCAGCGGGCGACGAGCGGGCGGCAGCTGCAGCGGGCGACGAGCGGGCGGCAGCAGCAGCGGGCGACGAGCGGGCGGCAGCTGCAGCGGGCGACGAGCGGGCAGGCGCTGCAGCGAGCGACGAGCGGGCGGCAGCAGCAGCGAGCGACGAGCGGGCGGCAGCTGCAGCGAGCGACGAGCGGGCGGCAGCAGCAGCGGGCGACGAGCGGGCGGGCGCTGCAGCGGGCGGGCGGCAATGTGCAGGCCTGCGGGGCCGCTGCGGGCTGCGCTATAGCGGTGCGAGCGGCGCACGGGCGGCTAGCCGGTCGCGCTCAAAAGAAATCGGCCGCGCGCGGGCAGCTAGCGGGTCGCGCCCGGACAGGAATAAAAAAAATAGAAAACGAGCCGCGCGCGATTGGCTGGCGGGCTGCGCGCGCGCGGTAGGTAGGAGGCGCACTGGGGCGCGTAGGCGCACGAGGGCGCACGGTAGGTAGGTAGGTAGGTAGGTAGGTAGCGGTGGGCCCTAAGAACGGTCCTAGCGAAGGACCTGCTCTGAAACCATGTCGAAATCAACAGACAGGAATGATTGAACTAGCAGTGAAATCAGTACAAGTACCTAACCCTAGAATTGTGTACCCCCTATAGGCTAACCCACTATAGCCTAAACAAACACAACATATATAATGTTTGACATGGTTTTGACTGCGGAGTCTTCATCTGCCACTACTTGAAAGTTTTGGTCTACTCCGACTTCGCCAACTTGAAGAGTGGCCTGTGGTTCAAAGGGGTCAGCGCGCTGCAGTACCGCCGCAACATGCGCGCTGATATATGCGCACACGCTATGGGGGAGTTGCTCCGGAGGCTAGAGGAAGATGGCGTGGATGTTCCTTCTCAGGAAAGCGGCACCACCACCAACACGACTTTGAAGGAGGGTGCAGAGGACGGACAACACACAGAGCAAAGACGTGTGGACCGACTCGAGGCGGAGGTGTGCTCCTTGAAGCGCGAGGTCGGTGCGATGACTGCAGGATTCGCCGCAATTGGGCAGGTGCTTGGGATGTCGAGGGAGGAGCTGATCTCTGCCGGCGAAAACATGCTGCAGAAGCCTGCCTGCGCTGTGCAGGGAGCGGGAGGTAATGATCCGCGCAAGCACGGCCCAACCACTCCTGTACGGCCTTCAGGATACACGAAGCAGCTGAACGACAGCCCTGACGAGGATCTGGTGGGCTCCAACACGAGAGTGTCGCTCGACAGCAAGTTCGCGTCAGCCGTTGGAGCGTACCCCTGCTTCCCGGCACATCTGCCGATCCCCGGGACGGTTCCACACTGGCTGTTGTCGCGCCAGCAGGGAGCTGCGGTTTCACTAGTCCAGCCATCCTATCCTGTTTACGGCATCGCGCAGAGCGGTGCGGGCGCACACCCCGGCTTCACAGCTGTGCCTAAGCAGGAGCCCTTGGCCGGAGGAGAGGATTCTGACGAGGACGGAGAGGGGGAGACCGAGCCAGGAACAAAGCCGACCAAGTACACCGGGGTGTATGTGGAGGCCGATACAGGCAAGTTTGGGGTGAAGGTTGTCGCCAAGGACAAGGACGGAAAGAAGGTAACGAAGAGAGTCGGCGCTTACACCACGATAGAGGAGGCAGCGTATTGCTACGCGGCAGCAGCCCACGTGCTGAGGCCAGGCATGGGCACCAGGAACTCTGTGGCTTTAACACCGGCGGATAGGGCAGCTTTGAAGGGGTGCACTCCTGAAGTCCTAAAAGTCCTGGTGGATGCCCGCATGTGGTGGCGCTGGAGGGTATGGAGGGAGGCGTACGAAGGTGTGATGCGGAAGGCAGCGCGGGCCAAGAAGAATGCAACGCCTGCTAAAAGGGGGAGACCGCGAAAGGAGAGTGGTGCGCAGGGTGGTGGCACGGCAGGAGAGGGTGAAGGAGAGAAGGCTGGAAGTGAGGACACTGAGATCGTTGCCATCGAACCAACCAACAGCAGGGCGCTTGGGAGGCTCCGCAGTGCCGATGCAAAGTCCATGGATGACAAGACAGATGAAGCTGGTCGTGGGAGGCAGTAGGATGGTGCTTGGGATATCAGTGGATATCGCTCTTGCAGCTGCCCGATGCTATCTGTTTGTTGGTCCAGCTGCTCTGTAACCAACACGACTCTTTGTGATGCTTCAACCTTTCGCTTTTGTACTTGCTTCTGCATTTCTCGTTCTTGCTACTACCAGGAATGCACAGTAGTCTTTCACATTTCATTACTATTCGTAACACCCCCCTTCATTCCTTGCCGTAGCAAGTCTTGACTCGCTTGACTACTCCGCTCAGTTCGGAGCAGTGCTAGTACTGCTCACGGGGCAATCGCTTCGTAGGGAAGTCAGCTGCAATGTCACCCGTCGGGCAATAGGTCAGGTCGACCTTGCCTCTGTCCAATTTGTCCTTGATGAAGAAATACCACAGTGCAATGTGTTTGGTGCGGTTGACGAATCCTAGTTTGTTTGCAATTCTGATCCCACTCTGGGTGGCAAAGTGCAGACGAAAGGTTGGTAAAGTTGGATTTTTTGCTTCTTGTAGGAGTTCCTACATGTAGAGTCACTTGTGAACTGCTGTCGTTGCGATGATGATTTCAGCTTCCGCCGATGATAGGGCAACGAGTCCCTGCTTCTGCGAGTTCCACAAGATGGGCCCCGATGGCTCTAGGCAAAACAGGGACCCGGTTCCGGACCGTCAATTGTCGGGGTCAGCAGCATTATTGGCATCCACGTAGCCGATGAGATTGAAGGATGGGGTCATGACTGTTGAGTAGCAGAGCCCAATGCTGGGCGTGGAGATGAAAAATTGCAGAGCACGCAGTAGGACTAGAAGATTCGCAGCCGTCGATTTGCGGGATTACTGAGCCATCTGGCTTGCGATGTATAAGAGGCCTGCACGTCACTGAGGCAAGGAGCAGGCATCCCAGCTGCTGTAGGTATGTCTGGAAACCAAGAAAAAACATGACTGTATTGTCGGGCTTGTGGTCGGTTGCTGGGAGTGCAGTAAGGAGTGGAGAGCGGTGCAGGAAAAAAATTGACGCGTTTGCCAATTGTTTCGGCGTACTTGGCAGCTGTGTGATGGATGGCTTCTGAAAAGCAGGAGATATTAAGGCCCAGAAATTGCTTTACGTCCTAATAAGTGGTAATGTCAACACGCATCGTCGGATTCTTTTTGAACTGGTCGAGCAACATGTTGCTCGTCCTTGTGTAGAGTAGTGTCGGAAACTCATCCACCTCTCCTTACACCTTTCTTTAACTGTTCTGCTCACCCTGCCTCTCTCACTTTGCTTTCTGGTTAGCAACTCACCCCTCTCCTCCCTCACTCTTGAACCTCTCTTCTCCCTCTCCCTTCCTCATTTTGCTGCTGTACTCTCCTGACTGTGCTTGTATCTGTCCCTCCCTTCCTTGCAGTGCTCATCCTCTCACTGTCCTTGCCCCCATAAGCTCTAAGCTCCTTCACACACATGTCGCTAGACTTCCTAAGATCCCAAAATCTTGAGCGTCATATCTTCCTAGCATCACCGCTTGCTCAGTTTACAACAAAGCACTCGTGTAAAAGGGAAACATACAAGCAATGAGAATTGTGTCCAAGGTTCCACCTATTCGACCAGCACTCTCACCACCATCTCGCTGTCCCATCACCGTAGTCTACGCTAGAGGCTATGAGCCTCTACGAGCAGACTTGCAGCCGTGCTGCTTCTTGCCATCCCTTCCTTGCCCTGTCTACTTTGCCTCTAGCTGCAATCATCCAGATCCAGCTGGCTCCCTGGACCAATCCCGCACACACAGGAAAAAAAAACAGGCATGCACTCGAACACCCATCCATAGCTGGCGTTGCAACTGCCTTTTTGCTGCTGTTGCCTTGTTCTCTGCTGCTTCCACAGCCATCCGCTTCCTGCTTACGTAAGTACCACCCCACTCTTACCCATGCAACCCTCCGACCCTCAGGCTCGGCAAGTGCCAACTTCCCACCCTTGCCCCTCACTTCGCGAAACGCCAACTGACCTTTTGGCTCCCATCCTCGCACTGCGCCAGCTCGCTAAATACAGTATATACACCCTCCCTTACGCAACTTCCTTACCCTTCACACTCATACAAATGTGGCAGCTGTCGGAAACACACCCTCCTCTCCCTGCACCTCTCTTGAACAGCTCTGCTCACCCTGCCTCTCTCACTTCGTTTTCTGGTTAGGAACTCACCCCTCTCCCCCCTCCCTCTTGAACCTCTCTCTTCCCTCTCCCTTCCTCATTTTTCTGCTGTACTCTCCTGACTGTGCATGTATCTGCTGTCCCTCCCTCCCTTGCAGTGCTCATCCTCTTACTGTCCTTGCTCCCTCCCATGACCAACTGCTGCCGTCCTCGCCCTGATCATGGGACCAGTGTAGGCCGTAGTCTTCTTCCGCTTCCCTGTGTGAGCCATGTTTGTGACATGATCCAGCACTCGCTTCCTCGTAGCGTCTTCCAACACCAACACACCAGAATCAAGCACTTCCTTCACCTCCCACCTCTGCTACGACACTCCCACGTCCAGTCTGTCCCGCCTTGCCCTTCGCACATACACAGCCTGTCCCTCTTCCACCGTCGGCTGCTTCCCTTGCATCTTGCTCAGCTGTTGCTTCTTGTAGCAGTGTATGTTACGCAATTGCGCTACCTTCAAGCTCTCCATGGGGCAGGTAACATCTTTTTCAGGTACCTGGCCCTTGCGTCTGCTAGTGCCACCCATTTCTCTGCACTTATCGCTGTCACACTGCCCGTCAGCAGCCTCGGGGCATCCACAGGTAGGATAAGCTGCTTCCCAAAGAGCAGATAGTATGGCGAGACGTCCTTCAGCGTTGCCTGCTTGCTGAACCTGTACCTCGACATGACCCAGGGAAACTTTCTGCCCCAGTCCCCCTTGTGCGCTTCTCGGTACACTCGTAGTCCCATCTTCACTGTCTGCAGCAGCCTCTCCATGAGCCCATCGCTCTGGGGGTGATACCTGGACGTGGTGCGGTGCTGGATGCCGTTGGATGGTAGCAGTTCCTTGAACTCCCCTTGAAACTTAGTCCCCTAATCTGTGAGCACCTCTCCGCACGCCCCAAATCATGTCAGCACCATCTCTTCAAACGCTTCTGCCACTGCCCCTGCCGTCCTAGCCACTAGGGGTCTCGCTTCGGCCCACTTGCTAACGTTCTCTATCATCAAAACGATGTACCTCCTGCCCCTTCGTGAAACAGGCAGTTCTCCCATGATGTCTAGCGACCAGCGGTAACCTAGCTCCACTATGTCCAGGGGCTGAAGCTCAGCCTGACTCTTTAGCAAGCTGGCTTTATTCCTGCAGCAGAGCTCACACTTCTCCACCCACTCCTTCACCTCCCTGTGCATCACCGCCCACCACTAGCCTGTCTGCAGTAGCTACTGAGTCCTCAAGGGCTCGTAGTGGCCTAGCTTATTGTGCACCTTATGTATAATCTTCTCCCTCTCTGCCGGTGCCAGTACCCTCTTCCACCCATCCTTCGTCTGCAGCTGCACCTGTCCTTGGTACCACCTGTAGTGTTGACCTCACGCTCTTGCCCTTGCGTCTGTTCACCAGTCCACTGCTGTCTCCCTGAGTCGCTGCATCCTGCCACACATCCGCCGCTCCTCTTGCCTGCAGTCCTCCTCACCCCGCTCGCTTACCATGACTGTCAGCGCGGCTATAGGCAGTTCCTATTCCTGTCTGCTGCTTGGTGGGTTCCTGGGGAGGTCGTCCACGTGCTGCATTGTCTTATCGCACCGATGCTTTACTGTGAATTCATACTCTCATAACTTCATTGCCCACCACGCATTCCTGCCTGTCAGAGATTGATTGTGCATCAGCCATAGCAACGGCTGATGGTCAGTTACCAAGGTAAAGTTCCGCCCCTGCAAATACACCCTAAAATTCCTGACCGCCGACACTGCTGCCAATCCCTTCCCCTCGTATGACAAGTAGTTAACTTCCGCAGGGCTACAGATTCTACTGGCAAAAGCCACCACCTTCTGCACTCCCTTGTCCATCTGGCTCAACACTGCTCTCATCCCTGCACTACTGCAATCGGTATACAGCACGAATGGCGCCTCTTTGTCTGGCAGCTTGAGCACGGCTCCTGATTTCACTGCTTCTGTTAGCCCCTGCAGTGCCTTCTCATGAGGCTCCTCCCACTACCATTCCTGCTCCTCTCTCAACAGCATGTTCAACGGGGCCGCCTTCTTGCTAAATTCTTTTATGAATTTGCGGTAGTAGTTCAGGAACCCCAGCAGAGCTCTCAGGCTACTTGTGTCCTTGGGCCGCGCCACCCTATCCAGAACCTCCGCTTTGGATTTCTCGGTACTAAGCTCCCCCTCTGCTACTTCGAATCCTAGGTATGTGACGCTGCCTTTTCCGAACCGACATTTCCCCGGGTGACACGCCAGCACCTCGCTGCTTCGAGTGCCGTCAGCGTAGCCTCTACGTCTCTAACGTGTGGGTCTTCCGCGTGAAAACTGCAGCGGACGGCACGATCGAACGATTTAATGCACGCTGGGTAGTGCGCAGCTACGATCAGAGGCATGGGATTGACTTCGATCAAACATTTGCGCCTATCAGCAGTTATACCTCCATCAGAATCCTGCTCGCCATTGCTCTCACTGTGCCAAATCGACGTGAAGAACCCGCTTCTATACGTGTTAGATGCCGTAATATACGTGGAGCAGCCGCACATGTACGACGAAGGAGATTCGTGCGTGTGTCAGCTACGGAAGTCCGTTTACGAGATCAGGCAGGCACCAAGGCTTTGGCAGCAGTACCTACACAATATCCTACTTGAAATAGGCTTCAAGCAACTACCCCATGATCCTGGGATGTACCGCCGCGATTTCCGTGGGGATTATATTCTGCTCATCGTCTAAGTTGACGATTTGCTCTACACAAGGTCAAGCAACGAGCTACTCAAGCAATTCAAAAAGAATCTGGCGAGGCGCGTCGATATTACCTGCAACTACGACGTGAAGCAGTTTTTATGACTCAATATCTCCTACGCGCCAGGGACTATTCACCTCTCAGCGGCTATGTACGAAACAGAGCCACAGCCAAGGCTGAAGGTGTAACCCTGTGACGACCGCTGTGTAGCCTGGTCGTCAACCCAAGACGCGTCAGAGTGTCCAGTGAGGACAACGGCGCTCCGTCTTCCAAGCACGAGCCACATGCCCGATGTACTGCACAAGTAGCGCAGTACCCTCTTCGCAACATCCATGTGCACCTTTCGGTGCCGACCAGGAGCCACGTAGCGAGCCAAAAGGCCAAGAGGGTACGCAAGGTCAGGTCGAGTGTAGGTCATCAGGTACATGAGGCAGCCCACTAGCTCCGCGTAAGGACCACTCGACTTTGCGGACTCGTCCAAAGGTGGAGCTGAGAGCGAGTGACCTGTAGCCAGCGGAGTGGGCTGTGGGGAGGACCAGGTGAAGCCGAAGCGCTGAAGGACCTGCTGCACCATGTGAGACTGAGTCAATGTGATGGTGCGGCGTGCTCTGTCCCGGGTGATCTGCAAGCCAAGGTAGCTGCGCAGCTCACCCAGGTCTGTGCACGTGTGTCTCTTCTGCAGCTCCGACTTCACCAGAGCAAGAGCCTCAGTGTCAGCAGTAGCAAAGACCAAGTCGTCGACGTACACAAGGATGTAGAACGGCGGCAGCGAAGCGTCGGTGCGCAGAAACAGCGACGGGTCAGCAGTCGAAGGAGCGAACCCAAGAGCCGCAAGTGTAGTCCTCAGTGTGTCGTGCCACTCACGAGGTGCCTGGCGGAGACCGTAGACTGGCCGCCGGAGGCTCCACTAGGTACCAGGAGGGAACGACTCAGTGACGCTAGGTGGGCGGCGCATCCAGATCTCCTCGTGCAGGCTGCCCTGTAAGAAGGCTGTGCTGAAGTCAAGAGAGTAAAGCTCGTAGTCACGCTGAGCGGCAACGTGCAGCAGCACCCGAAGAGTGGTCATCTTCGGGGTAGGGGAGAAGGTCTGAAAGAAGTCAACTCCCTCACGCTGACTGAAGCCTCTAGCAACGTAACGAGCCTTGAAGACAGGCGGAGAACCTGGCGTCCGCTTCACCCTGAAAATCCACATGCCATCGACGATGTTCGCCCCAGGAGGGGGAACCTCATCGACGTAAGTGCCTGTGGACTTCCAGGATGCCATCTCTGCGTCCATGGCTGTCTGCCACTGAGAGGAGTACTCATCCGCGATCGCCTCAGCGTAAGAGCGCGGGGTCGGGATGTCTGGTGCATCCGGATCTCCCTCAGGGGCAAGCAGCATGGCCACGAGATGAGGCGCAGCGGCTGCAAGACACTCAAGGTCCTCGTGCATGTCCTCAAGGACGTCCGTGCCAAGAGCACACTCACCCCCGATGGACGGAGGACAGACAGACTCAGACTCAGCAACAAGACTAGCGGCGTAGTCTAGACGACAGGCAGCAGCAAAGTCAACAAGCTCAGCGACTAAGGCAGACGCAGCAGCAGACTCAAACGACGAGTCAGTGACAACAGTGGCTAACAGACGCGTGACAGTAGGGTGCGCAGCACGAAACTGGTCAGACTCAGAGTCTAGAATGTCAGGTAGAGAGGACGCAGGGAGGGACGGCAGGGGAACACGCTGCGGAGCAGAGGAGGGACGAAGGGCGACGAGGTGCGCACCGGGGACAACCAGTGGACGCTGACGAGGAACACGACGACCGGTACGACCAGGACGAACAGGCGAGACAGGACGCGACGCAGGCTCACGACGCTCAGCAAGACCACCGGGCTGCTCAGTGTAAGGAGGAGGAGCAAGGAGCGGTGAGCCAGGTAGTAACAGAAGACCAGTAGACGACGGGAAAGGAAGAACCTGACGAAGAACAGAGGCAGGCGGCGGCAGAGACGACGGAGACGGCGGAGCGAAGAACAGTCGTGTCGGCGCAGCTGCACCAGCACCAGCAGCTCCAGTACCTCCAGCAGCTTTAGCAGCTCCAGCAGCTCCAGCAGCTCCAGAACCTCCAGCCCCAGAACCGGCACCTCCAGCTCCAGGGTCTCCAACCTCAGTGTCTCCAGTAGCAGCACCCCCAGAACCAGCACCTCCAGTCCCAGGGTCTCCAGCCGCAGTGTCTCCCGCAGCAGTACCCCCAGAACCAGCACCTCCAGTCCCAGGGTCTCCTGCCTCAGTGCCTCCAACAGCGGCACCCTCAGACGCAGCACCCCCAGCCCCAACAGCTCCAGTACCTCCAGTACGAGCACCTCCGGGACCAGCGACTCCAGCACCTCCAGTAGACAAAGTACCAGCACCACTCCTAGCTCCAGGGACGTCAGCAGAAGTACCTCCAGCAGCAGAGCCCCGGGCTCCAGCAGCGCGACCCTGATGGCGACCGTACCAGTCGTGCAGCTGCTGTGAGGTGAGAGGCACACGCGGACGAAGGAGGCCACTCCAAGGAGATCGCGCACCAGTAGTCCCAGTACCCTCGGGCGTCTCACCTCCAGACTCAGCACCCCCAGACTCCGCACACACAGGCTCAGCACCCCCAGACACAGCACCCCCAGGCGCAGGACCTCCAGTCTCCTCACGCGCAGGCTCAGCACCCCCAGACTCCGCACCCCCAGACTCAGCACCCCCAGGCTCCGCACGCTCAGGCTCCGCACCCCCAGGCACCTTACGCTCAGCTCCGCACCCCCAGGCTCAGCACCCCCAGCAGGACCCGAGTCACCAGTGACCTCAACAGGCGCAGGCACGGGAGGGTCTACCTGAGAAACACCTGAAGGAGCAGGACCTGGCGCGGGGAGGGGGTCTACTTGGGAAGGAGCTGGAGCGAGAGCGAGCGGCGGCAGGGGGCGAGGGGTAGTGCGGTTGGGAATGAGACGGTAAAAGGGGACGGACTCGTCAAAGGTGACGTCCTGAGACACAAAGACACGGCGCGAGGTGGGGTCATAAAACTGCCAGCCAGGCGCGTCAGGAGGAAAACCAAGGAAGACGCAGGGAATGGCGCGAGCGGAGAGCTTGTCCGCGGTGGTATCGCGGACAAAGGCACGAGCACCCCAGACCCGGAAACGCGACGCATCGCCAACCTTCCCCGTCCACAGCAGTGTGGGCGAGGTCTCCGGCAAGAAGACACGGGGCCAGAGGTTGAGCTGACGCGCGGCGTACCGGACCGCAAACGGCCACAGAAAATGGGGGGCAGCCGCATGGATCATGGAGGTACGAGCGACCTCCATGACTAAGCCAATGCGGCGCTCAACAACCCCATTCTGCTGCGGAGAGGCCGGAAGCGTGAACGACTGGGTGATGCCGTGCTCCTCACAGAAGGCTCGCAAGAGGTCGGAGGTGAACTCACCACCTCTGTCAGAGTGCAGACGCAGGACGGGAAAGTCCGACTGGAACCGCTCGCGGAGCTGGAGACGAACAGCGCGGATCCAGGGGATCAAAACAGCAGGGACGTCACCCTTGCTGCGCAAGGGGAAGACCGTGGTGTAACGCGTGTAGTCGTCGACAACCAGCAGGAAGTACCGCTCGCGGCCCTGCCCCTGGACGCGGGCTGGGCCCCACACGTCCAGGTGGAGCGTCTGCAGCGGAGCCTCTGTGGGAGGAAACGAGGAGGAGTGAGGAGCGGCGCGCTGCCGCCCCTCGACGCAGGGAATGCAGGGCGGCGCAGGCGAGGGAGGGAGGGCAGGCAGAGACCTGGGAAGCCCAGAGACCAGGGAGCGAGAGTGCATGCCACGCAGGCAAGGCAGGGAGGGGTGACCGAGGCGGTGGTGACACGGGAGAGTGTCGTGCGACAGGCGGCGACACTCACACTGGGTAGCTACCTGAGCAGACGCGTACAGCTGAGGAGACAAAGGGGTGGAGCGCGACGTCGTGGTGAGGGTGTACAGACTGGACCCAGGCGCACGTGTAAACGAGGCTAGGTGACGGCCGGTCTGAGTGCACGTACAGATCGCCACACGCTGCAGTCCAGGGTGAAGGTATCAACTTCCGCATCCTGAAGAGCAGCGTTGCTCACCAAGTTCGTGCTCACCAGACGGGACCGCCGGACACGGAAGCACAGTGGTGGACCGTGCAAGCACTGGGCCCCAAGAGGGGTCAGCCAGTGAGACAGGGACAGGTGCAGGGAGGGGTGTGACTGTGGTACTGTCGCGAAAGAAACAGCGCGAAGCACCAGAGTCAAGTGTAAAGGTGTGCAAGGCCTGAGCGGACGCAGTACCAGAGAGAGCAGACTCACTAGCACCTAGAGCTGCAGGTGATATACCTGGGTCTATACCGGGGTCAGGCGGCACACACAAGTAGCAGTCACCCTCAGCACTAACAGTCAATGCATACACGGTAGCAAGAATAACATCATAGTCAATATCAAATATAGGTACACCACGCCTAAGCAGGTCTGCCCAGTTGGGGAACTCAGTAGCCTCGGGGAACTTGGCGAGCCAAGCATTGCTAAGCCGAGCAAAGCAGCGAGACTCGGTGCGAAGACCATTGCGCAGGGACCAGCGCGAATGATATAGGGGCAGCGACCAGCACCCCCAGACGCCCCACGCCCGGCATACCAGTCATGAAGCTGCTGAGACGAGGGGGCCTGGTGCTGCCGCTGCTGCTGCTGCTGCTGCTGGCCCTGGCCACCACTGCTGCCACCACCACTGGCTCCTCCCCCACTACCGCCGCTGCCACCGCCACTGCTCCCGGTACCACCGCCACCTCCACCACCACCGCCACCACCCCGACCACCCCCACCTCCTCCACCTCCCCCGCCGCCTCCACCACCGCCCCCTCCACCGCCACCTCCACCTCCCCTGCCAGCCCCTCTGCCCCCTGGTGCTGCGGCGCTTCCCACTAGGAGCGGAAGCAGCCCCGACCTCCTCAGCACCAAGGAAGTCGACAGCAGCAGCAGCAGAGGCGTAGGAGGGGGCAAGGGGGGAGGGGGAGCACCCCTCAAAGAGGGGAGTGCGAGGAGTGCCACGAGCCGCACCCACAGCAAGGATGTTCTTCTCCGCTGCGAGGAGCTGCGTCTCTGAGTCGTCGATGGTGAGCGCGGTAGGGTCTAGAGCGAGAAAGTGGTCCCTGACTGAGCGAAGAGAGTCAGGGAGGCGGGTGACGAGGAAGTAGAGCGTAAAGTACATCGGAGGGGTGTTCTTGGCGAGGAACTCGTCTGTAAGGGCGGAACGAAAACGAGTGTCACTAGCGCGCAGGTGAGCGATGAGGTCCTCAGCAGTGTGAAACGAGGACAGGTCGGGGAACAGGTAGGGTAGCATAAGACGGCCTAATGCTGCAGTGGCCGGGGAGGAGTAGCGCGCAACTACAGCGTCGTGCAGTGCCTCTGCAGTCTTGTGCTGGCTAAAATGCGCGCGCTCAGTGATCGGCAGGTGGTTGCGAATAGCAAGGCTCGCAGCAGCATCGCGAGTTTGCCACTGTGAGCGGTCGTGAGCAGGAGCATCGTCAGCAGGTTTAACGGCAGTGCCAGACGTGTGATCGAACAGTGAAATGTTGTCTTTGGCATCAGTCATAAGGAACAGTATGAGGTCGTCGAGCCAGGTGGCGAACTCGATCGGGCTACCGTCGGGCTCAAACTCGATAACATTGAACGTCGCCATAATCGCGGTGCAGGCAAAGGCAGCAGGCAAAGGCAGCAGGTGAAGACAGCAGGCACAGGCAGCAGGCAAAGAGAGACTGTGCGCAGAGACGGAGAGGGAGTGCGCTAGCAATAGGGGCGACGCGCAAAGCAGCTGCAGGCACCTCAGGTAGCGCACGAGGCGCGGCGCGAGCAGGTAAGGCGGCACGCAGAGCAGCGGCGGGCCGCGCGCGGGCTGGCAGGGCGCGGCGCGAGCTGCGCGGGCTGCGCGGGCTGCGCGCAGGCGCGCGGCTCGGCGCGGGCTGCGCGGGCTCGGCGCGGGCTGCGCGGGCGGTGCGCGGGGCAGCTGCGGGCCGCGCGTGGGCTGCGCGGGCTCAGGGCGGCTACGCGGGCGACGTGCGGGGCGCGACGCAGCTGGCAACAGCAGCGCGCGCTAAAAAAAAAAACGATACAAGCGCGCGCAGCCGAGGCGCGCGCGAGCAGCAGGCAAGGCAGACTGGCAGGCAAGGCAGCGTAGGTGAGGTAACGCGGTAACGGGTGGGCAGGAACTTAGGTCCTAAAGACCTGCTGCTCTAGATACCATTTCAGACATAGGCAGGAATGGTTGAGACTATCGACAGAATTGTACAAGAAGAAAACCCTAAGGGGTTATACCCCACAGTATCTACCCCACTACAGCCTACCATAAGTATAACATATATATATATATATATATTTGACACTTGGCGCACCAACACATGTGCGTTCATGGGTGCGATTTCTCTTAATCAACTTGGAATGTGACCTTTTTCAATTGCATTTTTCTAAAATCCGCACTTCTCTAGGATGTGGGGGGGGGTCTTATAATGTTAGGAGCCATTTAGGGGGGTATAACTCAGATGTACTCGAATAGAGTACCCGGGTCCGTATTATAGACCCGGGGGTCTACAACTTGGGGGGGTCCTATATACGGGGGATTACGGTATGCACAATCGTAAACCAAAGACCTCCACATTACAAATGTAAGCCAGAAACAGAATTACCGAGACGACTGTGCTAAACAAGGATAAATCACATTTATGCTTGAAAGGTTTATTCAATCAGGTTGGTGCTTACCAGGGCTCAGGTTTGGATTTGGCCTACTCACGATTGGCAGTGTAGCGTTTTCAAAAGCACTTCTGAGTAGTGTGTACTTTTACAATACACTGATAGAGCAGTGTAACATCAACTTTTGAAATTTTTACCTTGCGTCGTCAGTGTGGGTTTTTGCCGTACAGTAACACTTGTTAGCTTAGTCCAACTGACCAATTGACACATCACTGCGGCCAATACATAGGGAACGGAAGGTAACCTCGGTACTTGCGTGATCGACGAAAATCACGATCTCACCAATTTCGGGGATTAGAAGGGGGGGGGGGGGGGGGGGGGGGGGGGGGGTTCTGTACGCCCTTCAGCGTAATCTTTGATAAATAGAAATTTACCCCAAGGCGTTAGTGGGGCAAAATTTCAGTTGAAATTGCAACTTGCCTGCTCAGCGACTGCAACAGCTTCGCGACAATATAGGTGCACTACGCATGTAAAGGTACCGTATGGCCCCGGATATAGGCGCCGGCCTATTAAAGGCGCCGGCGCTTCTATCTGGAGCATGGCGCTTATGGTCATTCCTCGATTATAAGCGCCACCCCTTTTGTACTCTTTCGTATTATAAGCGCCACCATTAGAATGTTTTACTATTTTTTCTAACAATACAATTTAAACCAAATTTTCAAACTACGAGGATTTCTAAAAACACTACACTATGCCATACAGCAGGCCCCTAGGGGCGATTTTCTACCTAGGTGTTACACTACTCCTCGTCTGATTCAGGCTCTAGGCAGTTGTTGCCAAAGAAGCCGTCGGCGATGATGTCGTCGTCGACATCCACTTCTGCCGACAGCTGAGTCCGCCTGTGCGCCATGGCGAGGTGGTCCTCACTGCCGTCTAGTGCGTTGCTAATGCCGCAAGTGAGGAAGGCGCGCTTGACAAGGTCGGAGGGTACTGCTTTCCACGCCCGTGAGATCCAGCGAAGGACCACTGCTGGGGGGGGCTTCTTGAGGTTCCCTGCACCACAGCATACACACCACAGGGAAGGTTATTCAGCAGCCAAGGGTGAGAGGGAGGGATTAGGCATGCGTGAACTCCGGCTACAACGTACCTGCTGCTGTCAGCTGCTCTTGGCCCTCCTCCTCAAACCACTTCTGGTACTGCTGCCGCACAGATGCCTTGAAGCTCTTGTTGATGGAGACATCGAGAGGCTGGACTTCAGCCGTACATCCCGATGGGATAACTGCAGGCACGCGGTTGAGCTCGCGTAACTTCTCCTTCACCCCCTCGGTAAGATGGCCGCGGTAGGAGTCCAGCACGAGCATGGAGCTCTTAGCAGACCTGCCAAATCGGGGCTTCTAAGAACGGCTTGACGCACTCCTCAAGACAGCGGATGACGCAGTTAGCATCCATCCACCCCTTCTCATGGCACGCGACGACCACATCTACACATACAAGAGGAACATAAACAGTTAACGCGACATGAAAACAACAGCATACGGTAAGACAGCGGCAGTTTCTATATCTCACCGGGTGGAAAGTCGCCTTTCAGCAGGGTCTTCCTCTTCAAAAACACCCACGGCTTGAGCTTCACCCCGTCCGCCGTGCACGCCAGCATCACGGTCACACACTCCTTCTGGTAGCATCCACTCCTTATCGGCACCGACCGTACGCCCGTCTGCTCGACGGTGGTGGTGGCGGGCATCTCCAGCCACAGCGGCGTCTGATCGGCGTTGATGATCCAGCAGTTCTCGATGTTGCGCTCGCGACGCATGGCTCGCAAAAAACGCCAAAACAACTTGCATTGCGCCTCGACATCTATGAGAGGGAGTATGAACAGGCGGGATAGACGGCAGGTTAGTACGTGACAAAAACAAGGGGATAAAAAACCGGTGAACAAACTCTTACGAAAGGCAGTTTTCTGGGCAACCCGCGTCTTCATGCGGACGCTCAGATTCCACCTCTTACGAAACAGCTCCGACCACCTCTGACTCCCACGCCATTTGTCGTGCGGGTAGAGGTCCTTCATGAACTCCCGCAACCACTCCCGCAAACGGCCGACGGACACGGCGGTTCCTTTGCGGCGCCAGTCAAGGAGACGCTCGTACACCTTCAACTCCATCGGGCGGTACCACAAGGACCTCCCGCGACCGTGCATGCGCTTCCGTGCGGAGTGTGCTTCTTTGAGAAACGCCGCTGCGGCCTTCCAGTTGGCGAGACACTTTCGTTGAATCCCAAGGTCACGGGCCAGAGAGCGCTCCGACACCGCCCATCCATCAGCGCGACGTACTTCAACTTCTCCGCGGCGGTGTAGCCCTTACGCTTGTGCGCGCTGATCTTGTGCCTGGGAGAGGGGGGGCGGGCATCACGGTTCTGGGTAGACGGGTGGGGCCGCTTGCGGTTAGCTGGCGGAAACGAAGGTAACGGCAATTCCTTTGGGAGCCCGTCACGTGACCAGTATTCCACTCCGTCGTCGTCGTCGCCACCGGGAACACCCTCTGGAAAGACATCCTCGGCGGTGCCGCCTTGCGCGCCACCCTCCTCATCCTTCTCGCCGTCAGAACTGCTCGTTTCCTCGTTCTCAGCCACGGCGTCGTCAGCTCCGAGTGCAGATTCGTCCCACGTGGTGCAATCTTCGGGCCGGCCCCAATGTGGTCCAGTGTAAGGTGCGCCGTGAACCCACTCATCTGGGCCCTTGTTGCTTTCCGGTTCCTCCAGCCACTTGTCGAACTCAGACGGGGTCAGGAGCGTGAGCACGGGCGGACCCCCCATGTGCAGAGGACACTCCGGAATCGGCGGAGACGGAGGTAGAGGAGGCTGCGGAGGTGTTGGCGGCACAGGAGGAGCAGGAGGAGCAGGCGGCTCAGGAGGCGATGGAGGCTGAGGTGGCTCTGGTGGTTCAGCAGGGACACGGGTGTACCATCCGTCAGCGTCGACTACGTAGGCGGGTCTACGACTGGGCTTCTTCTTCAATAGCAAATGGGTGCCTGTGAATTCCGCCATGGCTGGCGCAGCCAGGCGGGAGAAATCAAGAAACAGAATGCCTTCACTGAATGAAACGAGTGCCCAAATGAGCAATTGGAGGGGACCCCTTCAGGTTTGCGGTGCGGGGTCCTCGTCGGGGAAAGACGACTGCCACCCTGCCTAAACCCGGAGAGGAGGGTATCGTGGCTCATTCTTGCCGCGCTGGCAGCATATTCCACCCCCTTCTAGAGGGTTCGGGTGGTTTGTTGCTGCCTGGCAGCGCATGACTCTCCTATTGGGCTGCACGGTAGGATGCACGTTACCGCTGGCAGGTGCGTTGCTCTGGAACAAGATTCGAGCGGTGGGAAATCGAAGCACCTCTATTTTCGCGGGATTTCCATGGACGAACGCATGCGCAGTGTACACAGTTGTGTTCGCCTTATTGTGGGCTTCAGTTTGGTACTCTTAAAAACTAAATTCAATTTTGCCATTACATTAGCGCCGGCGCTTATGGCCGTTACTCAATTACAAGCGCCACCCCTAAAAAATCAATACTTATTATAAGCGCATATGCGCTTTTATCCGGGGCCATACGGTATTCTCCTTTCATTGTTTTGAGACTTACAATACAAAGTATATGAACAGAAGGTAATAACAATATAATAGTACATTGAACTATCCAGCACAAGCATGTGCAAGCGGAAGAGCTTGCTGAAAAACACTTCTTTTCGCCAAGAAGTCGCTCACAAACTCCACCTTTCCCTTCTCAACATCATTACTTCTCCCCATCTTGGCAACTGATGCCGCATGCGCTTCCATACAAATCTTTCTGACAACATCAAATCCCTCTTCAGTGAGGGACACTGCTTCTAGAAGCTTCCATGCCCAGGCCTCAGAAGCATTGTCATAATCCTCCCGGCGCTTGCACACGATATGACCAGCGATTTCAAAAGACGCAGGGTTCACCAGTGTGTCAAGCAGCGCTTGGCTTATCTCGCCCCTTGCCTGCCTCTCTGCATATCTCTGCAAAGGGAAATGGAGGGGGAACGGGAGGAATTAGACCAGCTTATAACAACTGAGCAAAAGGCATAGAAGGAAACGAGAGATAACACCCAAACTTAATATGAAAGCGTGACACCAATTAAGGATGAAAAACGCACAAGAGGAAACAACTAACGACACCACGATGAACAAGGAGAAGAAACGCACCTGTGGAATGAGGAACAGCCGGGTGCCTTTGTCAACGATAAACAAGTTGAAGGGAATATTCCTTTCCTGGAGCTCGCAGCATGCCGCCGCAGCAGCTGACGCCATCTGCTCGATGCATGCACCCGCCTGGAAAACCAGCGTTTTCACGGGGTAATCAGTCAACTCTTCAACCTTGTACCCATTTGTTGAAACTGCAACTTCCTTAGAAGATGCACGCTCAATGGCAAAGGGCATGTCGAGAAAGTAGGCTTGGAAGTGCAGGTGGTTGATTGTTGCAAATGCGCCGAGGCTATTGTATCCGATCCTAAAGGCAGGGTCGTTGACTTCCGAGGCTAGCCGGAGAGCCATGAGGAGACTCGGCTCGTCTATACGTTGGGGAATTCTATCGAGGATGCGAGGAACCAGCAGCACGTGGCTGTAGTCAATGGGGGACACCTGAGGGCAACAAAACAAGCACAAACGGAATGAGTAAGCCCACAACGCCTGAAGAAATGGTCACAAGCATACAATTTCACTGAGAGACTGCTTTTGCTGGACCTAACCTAAGTGACATCAACAAAGCATACAACTTGGAAACAGAATCTCAAGAATTGGATTACAATCTAGGCTTACATTGACGGCTACGATGCTGGGGCTCTCCTCCACAACCGCCTCTTCATTGAAGCGGCTTTCCTCTTCCTCGCCTTCTTCAAAACGGAAGAGCATCTCATTCTGGCCGATCTTGGTGAAGTTGAATTTCGAGGGGTCAAACGGCTGCAGCACCTTGTCCATAGGGAATTCGGAGGGACGCTTCTTGGAGTGCCGCCCCTCGTTCAGCTTCGCAATGAAGCCCAGACGTCCCTCGATAACCTGCACCATGAACAACCAAATAATAGCATGTTTGAAAGTATTGCAAAAATCGGCAAATGCTTCTTGTACATTCACTTCATGTCTCCCTACATACAGCAGTCTGCACTTTTGGATGCAATGCGTTGGTCTGCTTCTTCCATCGGACATACCTTGGACTCGCACGCCGTTACGTCGTAACGGAACAACCCTTCCTGGAACTTCCGGTCCCACTGAACACGGCAGGAGGAGAGAACAGCAGGGAATGGGGAAATGAGGGGGAAGGGTGGAACAACAATATCAGGTTAAAACAGAACAGAGCTCTCCAACAAGCAACGAAACATATATGCTTCAGGACCACCAAACACGATGAGCTTGCAGAAGGTATTACCTCGGAGGTGATGTGCGCGCGAAGCGAGAAAGCGGATGTGTCTTGGTCGTCGTCGTGAATGTCGCTCGCACCGCCAGACAATGAAGACAGCGAGTCGGAGTCGTCCGACGATGACGACAGCGACTCGCGGATGGACAGCAGGTCGTCGTACGACGCCAAGCTAGATGTGCTTTGCGAACGCCTGGATCCCGGCGAGTGTAAAAACCCGGGCTGGAAGCAGCCTGGAACCCCGTCCATCTCCATGAAGGGCGACTGGATGCGGTCCGTCAAAGGCTTCAAGTTGGTGTACGGACGCTTCGCGTACGCGTACAGAGGCATGCGAGCACCTGGAGATAAAGACATGGAAGCAAGAGCACGGAAGGTGACGACACTGGGAGTCACTTATGAGAACTCTCAAAAGCGAGCACCAGATGAAGACATGGGAACAAGAGCACGGACGCTGGGCGTACGCTTACAGAGGCATGCGAGCACCTGGATTTACAGGCACAGAATCAACATGCAACAATGCTGAAAGAGAGTTAGTAGGCGAAAGGATATCAAGCCTCTGAACATGGGGTCTGGACTGGAGCATCACGACGGAATCTGAGAGAGAATTTGAGAGAATCAGAGGAAGAACGCGAGAGACCGAGAGAGAATCCGAAAGAATCCGAGAGAGAACCAGCGAACGAGAACAGGCTGTAGGGGAGAGCAGCGAGACTCCCCCTGAGGGGGCAGTCTGAACGTGGGGACTGGAGGTGGTATCGGGAGGTGAAATCGAACTCGATTAGTAGCAAAGCAGGCATTCAGTGAGCGGCGACATTTAACCAGGGTGGATCGGGTCGGGAGGTGGGGACGTACCAATGGTGCAGCAGGTATTCATACAGCGGCGACCGCAGCCCGCGGGCTGGTCCTCCTCCTGGTTAGTATTCGTCAGCATCTCACAAGGAATTCTGGGATGGACAACGACGAATGAGCCGCGACTGACTCCCCCACTTAATAGGTTAGCTGACTCCCCACTTAGGCTGTTCCTTAGCAGGTCACCGCCTCCTTAAACTGCACCTCAGGGAATCCCAAGCAGGCTAAACAGCGACTCGAACGCCTGCGGTTCAGTCTGCTAACACGGGGAGTGACGCCGCTACCACTACTATTCCTGACAGAAAAAGGATGTCTGACGGATCGCGAGCGAAACAGGACCCAGACACAGGAACGTGTGTGCGTAGTAGTAGTAACGGTGTCCCCGCGTTATCCACTGAAACGCGGTAGCCAATGTGCTGGCTCGGACGGCAGATCTGGAGCGACTGACGGCAGTGCAATCGCGAGTGGCCCACTCCCGAGGAGTCACAAGCAGCCGCTCAGATTAGGCTAATCTGAGTAACGCGCAGTCATCTCTCCGGATCTGAAACGGGCCGTTGATCACGGCGACGAGAACCGCAGACGCGGCGGCGAGAGACACTGGCTGGGCGTACTCGAGGAATCCTTTCAACTCAGCAAAGCGTCAGCAGTCTCCGAATGTGACTTCTCCCTGGGACGGGCCGTTGTGTTGCAGTCATCAGGGGGATGAAATCTGGGGGCTTCTGAAAAGCGTGTTGGTGAGCAAGAGGGAAGTGCTGGGGGAATGTTGCGAGCAACGAGACTCTGGTTGCTGCTGGAATGTGGGTGGTACGAGTGACGAGCGGTGGTTGTGGGGTGCTGGACGATCATCGTCGAATCAGGTGGCAGGAAACAACGCGCCATAGCGGTACATCCAACCACATCGCGAGGAAATCAATGGATCCTGTCCGAAGTGAAACGTCAACCGTTGAATCCTGACGGTCAGAATCCTCGATCCGAGGGTTGACATGCACCGACATTCAGCGACATCCAGTGACATATGTTCGGTCGGACACGCCCAACGACTGTCCACAAGATGTGCCGAGTCAACAGCGACTTCGGAAACGCCCAACGACTGTGCCTTCCCGCAAAATTTGCACGTCTCGCGCATCTCGCATGGGATCGTTCATTTGATTGGGGCCACTCATTTCTCGTCGACCCGACCGAGCAGAGCGGCAATCAGTGCCTTGGGGGGGCCTGGTAAAGCCGAGCGTGCGCCGGTCGCGCAGCCTGAGCGGCAGGCGAGCTGCAGTGGCTGGAAGGAGGCCAAGAGAAATAGCGTGCGCGAAAGTGACATGACGAGCCCATGATTCCCGACGTGACAGACTAGAAATAGGGAAAGTAGATTTGGCAGGGGTACTACTAGCGACCCTGCGCTTCGAAGGGGACTACAGTGCCAGTAGCGGGCACTTTCCACCCATCCGTGCCTCAGACAGGAATGGAAACAAGACAGTAATCTTCACCACATTCATCCACGTGTATAAACCTCAAAATTTTCATTCCTTCACGAGATTATGGAGAAAACAAGAGTGTCAGTGGTGATTCTTAAACTCTCTCAGATTACGGCCAGGACATGCTGGTTGTTTATTGATAGCCACGTAATGTGAGGGTGCCCTTCTCACCACAAAAAAAACCCTTACGGGTGTCCAAAAGCAAGTGTACGAAGGATGAAATTATCGGAGAATAGACAAATCGGACAGTCACTGAACAGAGAAGCAAATTCCTGCGACAAGGTTGGCCATCCGTACATCCGAACACACAGCCCCACCGTAAAAAGACACCTACTCGGCGACAAAGACAACAGCTGGCATGGCAGTCGTGATTGTGCTTCTGTCGGTGTGTGGGGACCGAACGGGCAGTTCACCTGTGGGCACACAGTGCACCTCTGTACTGTAGTTACAAAGTCAGCAGCAGGCAGAACCAAGTTGGGCAGTCGTTTTGTACAGTACAGCCAATATCAGCGTGTCCTTCCCACCCACACCACCGCCAAACGAAATGCTGCCCAGTGCCCAGCCACCACCACCACCTATGAAAGAGCTGCTTGCCGGCTTGTTCACGACAAACAAGTTGCATGCATTTGATACAGTCGATGCTCGGTCAATCCCGTGAATTTGCCCGTGCCAGATTGTGCCATATCCTTTCTGCATTCGGGCACAGGCAACGGCCCATCAGGTACAGTCCCATTTTGCGCGGTAAAACAGAAAAGGACATCTACAGATTTACAACTGCCCAGACACACCAAAGCAATGCCATCCCAAACTTTCCAGATATTTTGGAGATGTAACTACTGTGTTCATTACAGTCCCACATTTTCCCGTGGCGAAACCTGGCGAGCTGTCAAAATGCACGTGCTCGTTACAGTTTACTGCCGCCCCAAAAGGTGGCGTGACTCAAACAGGCATCATGTGTATTGGCCGATGGGAAATGAAAGCTTGCGGCTCCGTGAGAGCAGGAAAGTGGTACTGTACAGTAACGTGTCGTGTAAACAAAGAAAGCGATTCCGTGTCGTGACCTGGAAAGCGGTACACCAAAACTCCCCCAATCTCTTTCTCTCCAATTGAACTCGTGTTAAAATGGGTTAAGAATAATACGTCTTAATACATTTATGACCGTGGATGTGCCTATGTATTTTGCTAGTACATTTACAATCAACAAAAAAACGGGCATGTTAGTGGTGGAGATACTAGAGCATTAATACACCTAAAGAGCACAAAAGCAATCCGCACGACAATGCAAAACGTAGGGTTTCAAACACCGATGATAGCTATCTATAGGTGTGCATCGTGCAGGTACTCCATGCGTTTCGCAAAAGACACACATGATGTCCGGTACAGTCACACCAAATAGTCGGGTAGTATCGGACTGAAACAAATTTCATCGATTCGTCAACCTTTGCTCATGTCTTTTCGAGCAGTAAAGTGATGACGCATACAACTGACCGCCTTTGCTGTATATGAACTGTAAATGTTGGCTTCCTCAACTTCGTAACTGTACCTAAAAATTTGCACAATGGTCAATCTAATCACTCACGGGGAAAAACGTCCGCACGTCACCAGGTGAGCATCATCTAATTGTGATGAGCAAATTTACCAGGACAAGGTGAGCATCGTCTACATATGTTCAATTCAGTTCATTCGGTAAGGTCGAAATGACGGACTAGTGTCAAACTATGATGATGCTTGTGCTTTGCAAGCTGTAAAAGGGGTACCCCATAAGGGGTACAACCCAAATTAGGGTTAGCATTTGTACCCACTCTTGCATTCACTATCGCGCACTCTTCTCATCTGGTTTCAAAGCAGTAGGTCCGTAGGACCCTTTTTTTTTCCGCTGCAGCCCGTGCACCGCCCTGCTGGTCGCCCGCTGTCACTGCCTGCCCGCGCGCTGCCTTTTCGTGAGTGCACCACCCTACTATGGCTGCGCGCCGCCCTTCCGTGATCGTGTGCCGCACGCCCTACCCTACGCTCTACCCTAGGGCCTACTCGGAGTCCTACCCTCACTAAGTGCTGCCCTGGTGGTCGCACGCCTCCTTACTTGGCCTACAATAACTTCTCTTCATGATAGCAGTGGGAGCGGTGGCGGCGGTGGTGGCTGCAGTGGGAGTGGTGGTAACGGCCGTAGTGGCAGTCGCGGTGGAGCTGTTCAGTGCGGAGTTTCTGGCGGTGGCCAGATGCAGCTACAGCGGCGTCCGAGCGAGACCCTTACGCGCCAGCAGCTTCGTGAGTGGTACGCCAGGTGGTGTGGTGGCGGCAGCCGTAGTGGCAGTCGCGGTGTAGATGTTCATTGCGGAGTTTCTGGCGGTGGTTAGATGCAGCTGCAGCGGCGTCCACGAGAAAACCTTTCGCGCCAGCAGCTTCGTGAGTGGTACGCTCAGAATGGGGGGTCTAGGAGTACTGCCCGCTGCCCGTATGTGATTCGAACAGGTGATCGGGCTATTAAAACTTGCGGAAAACTTGGTGAAACACAGGCTCGCTGCTTCGTCTGTCTGAGTAATGCCTGGCGTGCAGTGTTTGGCGATGAGGCTGAGCTCCCCCCCTGGCTAGAGCTGCTGCGCAACAAGGTGGACATCTTTGCTCTAGACTATAACACTATCCTTATTGCTATGTATGCTCTGACTGGTAGTACTAAGGGTGACTGTTACCTGTGTGTGCCGCCCGACCCTGGTATAGAGGCTGCTGCTCTAGGTGCTAGTGAGTCTGCTCTTTCTGGTACTGCGCCTGCTGAGGCCTTGCACACCTTCATGCTTGACTCAGGTGCTTCCCGCTGTTTCTTTCACGACAGTACCACAGTCACACCACTCCCTGCACCTGTTGCAGTCTCTCTGGCTGACCCCGCAGGGGGCCCAGTCATTGAAGGCACGTTCCTCCACTGTTCTTCCGTGTCCGGCGGTTCCGTCTGGCTCACTGACAGGTCTTCACCTCCCCTCGTTCTCTACAAAATTGGTTAGTAACGCCATCCTTCAGAATGCTTGGGTTTATACCTTTACCCCTAGAGGACAGCGTGTGGCGATGTGCATGTGTGCACGAGCGGGCCGTCACCTGGCCACGTTCACCCGTCGGCCTGGGTCGAGCCTGTACACACTGACTACTGAGCCTCCCCAGGTAGCTGCGTCTGGTCAGGTGTCCGCGTCAGGTCAGGTAGCAGCCCCCTGCTCGTGTCGCCACCTCTCACACCAGACTGTCCTCTGGCACCACCGTCTTGGTCACCCCTCCCTGCCACGCCTCCGTAGCATGCACTCCCGCCTCCTTGTCTCTGGCCTTCCCAGGTCTCTGCCCCCCCCTCCCGTGCTCGCCTGCCCCGCCCTGCGTTCCTTGCGTCGAGGGGCGGCAGCGCGCCGCTCCTTACTCCTTTTTGTTTCCCACAGAGGCTCCTCTGCAGACTCTCCACATGGACGTGTGGGGCCCAGCCCGCGTCCAGGGACAGGGCCGCGAGCAATACATTCTGCTGGTTGTTGACAACAACACGCGTTACACCACGGTCGTCCCCTTGCACAGTACGGGGGAGGTCCCTGATGTTTTGATCCCTTGGATCCGCGCTCGCCATCTCCAGCTCCGTAAGCGGTTCCGCACGGACCATCCTGTCATGCGTTTGCACTCTAACAGAGGTGGTGTGTTCTCCTCCGACCTCTTGTGGGACTTCTGTCATGGGAAGGGCATCCTCCTGTCATTCACGCTTCCGGCCTCCCCGCAGCAGAATGGGGTAGCTGAGCGCCGCATTGGCCTAGTCATGGAGGTGGCTCGTACCTCCATGATCAATGCGCCTGCTCCCCATTTTCTGTGGCCATTTGTGGTCCGGTATGCTGTACATCAGCTCAACCTCTAGCCCCGTGTCTCCTTGCCGGAGACCTCGCCTACACTGCGTTGGACGGGGGAGGTTGGCGATGCGTCGGTGTTCCGGGTCTGGGGTGCTCGTGCATTTGTCCGCGATACCTTTGTGGACAAGCTCTCCTCCCACGCCATTCTCTGTGCCTTCCTTGGCTTTCCCCCTGACGCGCCTGGTTGGCAGTTTTACCACCCCACCTCGCGCCGTGTCTTGTCCTCTCAGGACGTCACGTTTGACGAGTCGGTTCCCTTTTACCATCTCTTCCCCTACCGCACTGCCCCTCTCCCCCCCCTGCCACGCTTCCTCACTCCAGGTCCCCCTCCGGTAGACTCCCTTCCCCCTTTAGGGTCCTGCTCCTTCAGGTGTGTCTCAGGTAGACCCACTCCCTTTGGTTGAGCCTGTCGTGGTCATTGGTGACTCAGGTGCTGTTAGGAGTGGTACTGCTCGAGGTGATGTGTCTGAGGGTGCTGAACCTGTGGGTGCGGAGACTGGGGGTGCTGAGCCTGTACATGCAGAGCCTGTGGGTGCGGACCCTGGGGGTACTGAGCCTTGGGGTTCTGAGCCTAAGGGGACCGAGCCTGAGAGAGTGTGCGGAGCCTGGGGGTGCTGAGCCTGGGGGTACTGAGCCTGGGGGTGCGGAGCCTGGGGGTGTTGAGCCTGGGGGTGCTGAGCCTGCGGGTGCGGAGCCTGGAGGTGCTGAGTCCTGGGGTGCTGAGCCTAGGGGTACTGCTTCTACACTACGTGAGCCTCGCTCATCACAGCAGCTGCGCGAGTGGTACACTCAGCACTGCCGCCTTCGGAGTGGCGCTGCTGGAGCTGGAGGCCCTGGAGCTGCTAGTCCTAGAGGTGCGAGAGGTACTACTAGAGGTGCTGGAGGTACTGGAGGAGCTAGAGTTGTTAATCCTGGAGGTGCTCGTACTGGAGGTACTGGAGCTGCCGGAGCTGGTGGTGCTGCCAGTACTGGTGGTGCTGGCACTGCTAGTCCCGGAGGTGCTCGTACTGGAGGTACTAGAGGTGTAGCCTCTCTCCCCACAGCAGCTGCACGAGTGGTACACTCAGCGCTGCCGCCTTCGGAGTGGCGCTGCTGGAGCTGGAGGCACTGCGGCTGGAGACGCTGGAGCTGGAGGTACCATGGAGCTAGAGCTGCTGGTCTCGAAGGTGCTAGTTTGGGAGGTACTGGAGCTGCCGGAGCTGGTGGTGCTGCTGGTGCTGGAGGTGCTGGTGGTGCTGGCACTGCTGGTCCCGGAGGTGCTCGTACTAGAGGTGCTGGAGCTGTCGGAGCTGGTGGCGCTGCGGGCTCTGGAGCTGGAAGCGCCGGCGCTGGAGGCGCTGGAGCTACTGGCGCTAGCACTGGAGCTACTGGAGCTGGAGGCGCTGGAGCTAGAGGCGCTGGAGCTGGAGGTTTTGGAGCTGCTGGAGGAGTTGGAGCTGCTGATACTCATACTAGAGGTGCTGGTGCTGGTGGTACTAGTGCTGCACAGCCGCGATTGTTCTTCGCTTCGCAGTCACCGTCGTCTCTGCCACCGCCTGACTCGGTGCTTCGTCAGGTTCTTAGCCTCCCGTCTTCTACTGGCCTCCCGTTACAGCCAGGCTCCCCACTACCTGCTCCTTCTCCTTACACTGAGCAGGCAGACTCGATTAGAGAGCGTCGTGAGCCTGCGTCTCGTCCTGCCTCGCCTGTTCGCGCTGGTCGCACTGGTAGCCGTGTTCCTCGTCCGCGTCCTCCTCCTGTCCCTGACAATTTGTCCTTCCTCTGTTCCACAGCGTGTCCCCCTGCCGTCTCCTCCTGCGTCCTCTCTTCCGCACGTTAAGGGCCTTAAAGATAGGGTCTTAAGTACTGCGAGTGCTTTGCAGTTGATGGTAAAAGTTTGGCTGTGATTGGTTAGCGAACTAGAAAGTTTGAAGTGGGTTGAAGCGAGGGGTGCGAATCAATCTCAAATCGCTGGGTGTACCCAAACCTTCTAGGCTTGGGAACTTGGCTCGGAGCCAAACCTAAAATGCCCCCAACTCATCGAAAGTCTCAAGTACTCAGAAGTGTTGTGCAATCGCTTCTGGGTGAGTCGCAAGCCTGTTTTTCAACCCAACCAAAAACTAGGTAACCTAGGTAACCTAGCTTCAACTGTTTTGCAGTTGACGGCCTCTTAGCTTACGTGAGACCCTGGCTTTAAGTCTGACCTGGTTCGTGCTGCCAGCCCTACTGTCACGTGTCTCCTAGCCACTGTTGTCACTGACCCTTCGTTTGAGTCCACTGCTGCATCTGCCTTAGTCGCTGAGATTGTTGACTTTGCTGCTGCTTGTTATCTCGACTACGCCGCTAGTCTGGTTGCTTAGTCTGAGTCTGATTGTCCTCCGTCTGTCAGGGATGAGTGTGTTCTTGGCACGGACGTCCTTGAGGACAGGCAGGAGGACTTTGAGTGTCTTGCAGCTGCTGTACCTCATCTCGTGGCCATGCTGGTTGCACCTGAGGCAGAACATGATGCATTGGACATCCCGACCCCGCGCTCTTACGCTGAGGCGATTTTGGGTCCCTACTACTATCATTGGCAGATAGCCACGGACACAGCAATGGCATCCTGGAAGTCCACAAGTAGTTCCCCCTCCTGGGGCAAGCATAATCGATGGCATGTGGATTTTCAGGGTGAAGCGGCCGCCGGGTTCTCCGCCTGTCTTCAAGGCTCGTTACGTCGCACGAGGCTTTAGTAAGCAACAGGGAGTTGAATTTTTTCATACCTTCTCCACTACCCCGAAGATGATCACTCTTCCGGTGCTGCTGCACGTTGCCGCTCAGCGTGACTACGAGCTTCACTCTCTTAACTTCAGCACAGCTTTCTTACAGGGCAGCCTGCACGAGGAGATCTGGCTGCGCCGTCCACCTGGCTTCACTCAGTCGTTTCCTGCAGGTACCCAGTGGAGCCTCCGACGGCCAGTCTACGGTCTCCGCCAGGCGTATTGCGAGTGGCACGACACACTGAGGACGACACTTGCGGCGCTTGGGTTTGCTCCTTCGACTGCAGACCCGTCGCTGTTTCTCCGCACCGACACTTCGCTGCCGCCACTCTACATCCTCGTGTGCGTCAACTACTTGGTTTTGCCACTGCTGACACTGAGGCTCTCGCCCTGGTGAAGTCAGAGCTGCAGAAGAGACAGACGTGCACAGACCTGGGTGAACTGACAAGCTATCTTGGCTTGCGGATCACCCTGGACAGAGCACAGCGCACCATCACCCTGACTCAGTCACACATGGTGCACCAGGTCCTTCAGCGCTTCGGCTTCACTTGGTCCTCGCCACAGTCCACTCCTCTGGCTACCGGTCACTCGCTCTCAGCTCCACCTTCGGACGAGTCCGTAGAGCCAAGTGGCCCGTTTTTAGAGCTTGTGGGCTGCTTCATGTACCTGATGACCTGCACTCGTCCTGACCTTGCGTACCCTCTTGGCATTCTTGCACGCTACGTGGCTTCTGGTAGACACCGAAAGAGAATAGGGTACTGCGTTACTTGTGCAGTATATCGGGCATGGGGCTCGTGCTTGGAGGACGGGGTCCAGTTGTCCTCACTGGACACTCAGACGCGTCTTGGGTTGACGACCTGACTACGCAGCGGTCGTCACAAGGTTACACGTTCAGCCCTGGCTGTGTTTCTTGGCAGTCTACCAGCTCTTCTTTTGTTCTCACCTCCAATTGTGAGGTTGAGATCTACGTAGATCTCAGCGTTTTTGGCTAGTGATCATCAGCGTTTCTGTACTGCTTTAGGCCTTGTGCCTGCTTCGTTTCACCTGCTCACTGCATGACTTTGCGTGTACTGTGCTCTATATATACACCAGCATGCTTACTCTTGCTAGTTAGTGATCAATGTACGGTTTTCTACAAAGAAACATGTATTTTTCATCTCATACACTAGAAAAAATGCTTGGGTTACATTGTATTTGGGGAGGTTTAGGGTGTCTTATAAGTCTTATAAATGGATATAAAGTCGTTTAGAAGATACCCCCTCGTTATACAATTGCCCTAACCTTTACAATGTCTTAACTCATACACATAAAAAATAGGTGTCTTATAATGAGGCTAGCCTGTTTATAAGAGACACCCGGATAATAGACAACCCCTGTCTACTATTCAAGACTGTCTACGATTTGGGTAATGTTGGCAACTCTTCATGTGAACTGGCCTTGTGACCATTTGCTTGTGGTGACTTCGTGATCCACCCTGAGCTTGCTTTGCTTTTCTTGACTGGTCTTGTGACCACTGGTTCTCCCCCACTTTGCCTATGGGGGTGTGTCAAACTGTAATCATGTTTGTGCTGTGTAGGCTGTAGTGGGGTACAACCCAATTAGGGTTAGTACTTGTACCCACATTTTTGCTCAATGCAACTATTCCTGTTCGTTAGTTTCTGACAGTGTCAAATGTTGTAGACTGTAGTGAGGCTTGTCTTATGGGGTACAAATGTTAGGGTTAGGTATATGTATTCCAACCCACATCAATACAACAACAATTTAGTTCTTGATAGAAAGTGTCGAGACTAAATAGGGGAAAGGCTAGCTAGGCGAAGAGATCGGGCGAGGTTGGCTCGGAAAGCGTTGCGATTGGAGCGGGGGCGACTCGGTAGTGGTTTGGATGCAAATTTGTAGGACGAAAGTGAGGGTCGTGTGGCCCTCGAGATGTAATTGAAGTCAAAGCCTGATGTATGGGGTGGGGGATAAACAGGGCTAAAGTCATAGACACCGGGTGGAAGGGGGGCATTATTCCAACAGAAAAGGACGAAGACAGGCAGCTGATGGGGTGACGATATGAAACAACACGAATTGTCAAAACGCAGAGCGAGTCAACACAACAGCACTTACCTGGCAGCTTCCCGCGGTAGAGCTTGTGCAGTTTGCCCAGCCAGCGCTTGAACGCCTCCACGCGCTAGGTGTCGTCCGTGAGATAAGAGGCGATGCGGAACAGCTTCGGCCCTTCCAGGTTGGCGAGATCATGCATCCGCCACTCCAGCTCCTCATCAACCGCGCGGACGAACTTCAACAAGAGCTCATAGCATGTTGTAACGTCGCTGTCCGTTTCATGCCCTTTCAACTGCTGCTTGTGCAAGATGAACGACAAAGCTGACCACGCTGCTGCAGCTCTCGAGCAAGGAAGTACCGAAGGGCGATGTGCTTCGTTCTGTGCTCCAGTCTGTGCTCCTCACACAAGGCAATGGCAGCCTGGTTGTCGACGTACAGCACTGGAGGAGAACGAGGCCGCTCTCCCAAGTCGGTCAGCAGGTAGGTCAGCCAGCGAAGCTCCTGGGCAGCCATGGCTGTGGCGTAGATCTCAGCCTCACAACTGGAGCTGAGAACAGAAGAAGAGCGTGTAGAACGCCAAGAAACTGAGCCGGAGCCAAGGCTGAAGGTGTAACCCTGAGACGACCGCTGAGTAGCCTGGTCGTCCGCCCAAGAAGCGTCTGAGTGTCCAGTAAGTACAACTCGGTCTCGCCCTCCAAGCACTAGCCCCATGCCCGACGTACTGCACAAGTAGCGCAACACCCTCTTAGCGGCATCCATGTGCTCCTTCCTGTGACGGCCAGGAGCAACAAAGCGTGCAAGGATGCTAAGAGGGTATGCAAGGTCAGGTCGAGTGCAGGTCATCAGGTACACGAGGCAGCCCACAAGCTCTGGATACGGGCCACTCGGCTCTACGGACTCATCCGAAGGCAGAGCTGAGAGCGAGTGACCGGTAGGCAGAGGAGTGGACTAAGGCGAGGAGTACGTGAAGCGGAAGCGCTGAAGGATCTGCTGCACCATGTGTGACTGAGTCAGGGTGATGGTGCGCCGTGCTCTGTCCCGGGTGATCCGCAAGCCAAGATAGCTTGTCAGTTCACCCAGGTCTGTGCACGTGTGTCTCCTCTGCAGCTCCGACTTCACGTGGGCGAGTGTCGCGGTGTCAGCAGTGGCAAAGACCAAGTCGTCGACGTACACGAGGATGTAGAACGGCGGTAGTGAGGTGTCTGTGCGTAGAAACAGTGACGGGTCAGCAGTAGAGGGAGCGAACCCAAGAGCCGCAAGTGTCGTCCTCAGTGTGTCGTGCCACTCACGCGGTGCCTGGCGGAGACCGTAGACCGGCCGCTGAAGTCTCCACTGGGTACCAGGAGGAACCGACCCAGTGAAGCCAGGAGGGCGGCGCAGCCAGATCTCCTCGTGTAGGCTGCCCTGCAAGAAAGCAGTGCTGAAGTCAAGTGAGTGAAGCTCGTAGTCGCGCTGAGCAGCTATGTGCAGCAGCACCCGAAGAGTGGTCATCTTCGGGGTGGGGGAGAAGGTCTGAAAGAAGTCAACTCCCTCTCGCTAACTGAAGCCTCGAGCCACGTAGCGCGCCTTGAAGACAGGAGGAGAACCCGGCGGCCGCTTCACCCTGAAAATCCACATGCCACTGACGATGTTCGCCCCAGGTGGGGGAACCTCGTCGACGTAGGTGCGTGTGGACTTCCAGGAAGCCATCTCTGCGTCCATGGCTGTCTGCCACTGAGAGGAGTAGGGACCCGCCATCGCCTCAGCGTAAGTGCGCGGGGTCGGGATGTCTGGTGCATCCGGGTCTCCCTCAGGGGCAACTAGCATGGACACGAGGTGGGGTAAAGCAGCAGCAAAGCACTGGAACTCCTCCTGTCTGTCCTCAAGGACGTCCGTGCCAAGAGCACACTCACCCCCGACGGACGGAGGACAGACAGACTCAGACTCAGCAACGAGGCTAGTGGCGTAGTCTAGACGACAGGCAGCAGCAAAGTCAACTAACTCAGCGACCAGAAAAGACACAGCGGTGGACTCAAAGGTAGGGTCAGTGACAACAGTA